AGTGCTTAGGTATTGCAGTCTCCAAGTTACAAACAAGATAGGTTCTGTGGGTTTGTTTTAAGTTGAATTTTTTAAGTCAGAGTTACATTTTTAAAAGTGTACCTCCAGCCAAATATAGCTTTGGATAACACAGGGAAGAGTTAACACCCCTGTGGTGTTTATTTTGTTGTCTTGGCTGCAGTTCAGAATGTTCCACCTCACTTTCTGTCCTTGTGATAGTTGGATTTTGAAAACTTTGGCTTGTTGTGGAAACAAGCATTGGGGATAAAACTTCAGTGGTGACAGCTTTCCCCCATAACTTTCAGGAGTAAAATTCCCTTTCTAGATTTCTCTCACTTGTTGTTGTCTTTTCCCCATTCTTAACTAGGAGTCATTTGTAAGTCAGATGTTTGTAACTTAGGGACTGCCTGTGCATGAAATGTGTCACATGCAGTCACTTTATTTTTGTTTTTAAACAGCAAAATCAAGCACAGATTGTGACACCATGTATACATTGTGGATGGGAAGTCAAGTGCAGCTTGTGACATTCTGGATGGGAACACACTGTACAGGGAGATGAACTGCAGTTGCTTCACTCCTGAAAGCTGCCGTTCATTTTCCAGTCCCAATTCAAGGTGCAGGTACTCACCTACAAAGCCCTAAACGGTTTGGGACCTGCCTACCTGCGTGACCGCATCTCCGTTTACGAACCCGCACGCTCCCTCCGATCATCTGGAGAGGCCCTGCTCATGATCCCACCTGCGTCGCAGGCGCGTTTGGTGGGGACGAGGGACAGGGCCTTCTCTGTGGTGGCCCCTCGACTCTGGAACTCTCTCCCTAAGGACATCAGACAAGCCCCAACATTGGCTGTCTTTAGGAAGAGCCTGAAGACCTGACTGTTCCAGTGTGCCTTTCCAGAATAGGAAACTCCTGGCTTCAAGTTCCAAATGCACTTTGTTAGAGATTCAGGATTATCTGCACATTGCACCTACCTCCAAATACCTCTACATATTACCTGTCAGGCTCAGCACTTTTAAATTTTGTCCATTACATTTGGCCCGGCCTCTAGGTTTTTAATTGCATCACGATGTCATTGTTTTATTGTTTTATTGTTTACTTGATGTTTTATTATTTGCTTATGAGTTTTACTGTGTATTGTATGTTGTTGTTGTTTGGCAGCCTTGGCCTTTGTAAGCCTCATCGAGTCTTTCGGGAGATTTTGCGGGGTATAAATAAAGTTAATAATGATAATAATAAATAAAAAAGTCACCCCTCTGCAAATAGCAGTAAAAACAAAGGTTCAATTGGTGCCTATTGGATACTCTCCTGACCATCATTTACAGTCTGTGAGGGAATTGTTTGGTTCCCTCCCTCCTGGATTGTGTCAGGAGAAGAAGGGTTGCTCACCCTCTCCTTGTGGGTTGTGATTGCAAGCTAGAATAGGTCTTATCTGAGGATTACACTTTTCTTTAAAAAAAATCACTGGCATATTTTACATTTAAAATCACATGCAGTCTGCAGATAAATCTTTAGATGCCATCTGTCTGCTCCAACTAGATTTTGGAGGAAGGAAAATATTTTTTCTGCGTTATTCTAAACCTCCTTCTCTACCCATGTATACAAATTAACATTCTTGCAAATTGTACAATATTGTGTCCCCTTGGAGTGCAGTTTTAAAAAATGCTTTATATACATGGATCTACCATGGTTTAGTTGTCTTAGTTGGACTAGGACACTGGGAGACTAGGTTTGAATTTTTGCTCAGCCATGAAAACCCACTGGGTGACCTTAGGCAAGTCAGTCTCTTAGCCTTAGAGAAAGTCCATGGCAGAAACCACAGCTAAAGACATCTTGCCACTAAAAATCAGGATAGGGGGCCTATAAATTTAAAAAATATTTAACAATGGATTCATGGAATGAAATAGATTCAATTCATATTCTCTTTACATTTTTTTTCTGGGAAACTTGATCAGTCACTTTCATATGCATCCTAAAATGTGAAAATATTGCTTGAAGGTATGCACTTACACTTGTGTTAATGTGCTATGTAAACTAACAAAGAACACATCTCTTCTTAATGAAGACACTGTAAGAGATAATGAGAATAAATGTTCAGACCCTGCAATGCATAATGGGAACAAATTGCTTTTGTAAAAAGTAGCTTTCCAACTTGGAGATCTGTGCTCCAATGCTGAAGACATTTTGATGTTTTTTTTTACTCTGTTCAAAACAAAACTGTGTGACTGACATAGGTTGTTGTTGTTCTACAGTTTGGTTAAGTAGTCATACTGGTTTAAAGGAAGAGCTGTCTAGTTTCTGATAATATTGCAGATAACATCTTACCTTCCTTCCTTCCTTTGCAGAAATTAATTTATTTCTGAAGTCCGCAGACACCACAGATTTGATCTTGTGTGACTGTTGCACAATTTTGCATTATATATCATGGACAACCTTTAACAGTTTTCTGAGCCTTCAAAAAAAGAACACCATTAAATGTTAATATCATTTTAGTTATTCATTAAATATCTATAGCCTACTTTTTAAAGAAAAGCCTCACACATTTTTGTAGTATGATAATACAAAATGCCAATTCCTTCACATCTTAATTATTGGTCCCTTTAAAAAGAATAATGAAGAGAAGAGAAACTGCAGAAGGAGATATCTCGGGAAAGAGCATATTCCTCATTATGTTCAAAGAGCATAATGAGGAAGAGGTGAGGTGGACTGTAACTACGTGCTGCAATTTTGTGTTTGCAACAGCCTTAGAGAGATAGTCCTGTCTTTTATTGACATTCAATATACTGGTATGTATGGTTTGAGTGTTTGACTAGAATTCTGAGAAACAAGGGTTTCAAGTCCTTATCTAGCCATGGAAACCCACTGGGAGACCTTGCACAAGCTGCACTTTCTCAGTTTAAGAAGGAAATTGCAAACTTCATCTGAATAAATATTGACAGAAAAACTAGAAGCATGTCTTAGTCAGTAACAAAACCCAGTATTATGGATTTTCTTGTCTGGATTCAAGCTGGCCTCACTTTAGGCAATTCTGGAGTTCTGTGGCAGTCTGAACAGCTGGATTAGTTTTGTTTCAGCATGATCCCCTGTCTAGATGAATCACCCTTTCCCTATACTGTAGTGATTGGCACGGGGAAAGGGAGTGGTTCAAACCTGCTCCCTGCTGGCTGTGTAGCTCCTTCTGAATGTCTGGTCAATCCTGTCACGTCTGCTGATATCAGAACATGGGATTTGCATGACCAGCAAGAAGGAGTCCATGTCCACTGAGGACTGCAGCAACATGGAGGGTGAGGTGATAACCCACAAGGATAATAGAATCATAGAGTTGGATGAGACCTCATTGGCCATCCAGTCCAACTCCCTGCCTAGAAGCAGGAAAATCTCATTCAAAGCACCCTTGACAGATGGCCGCCCAGCCTCTGTTTAAAAGCCTCTAAAGAAGGAGCCTCCACCACACACTGGGGAAGGGGGTTCCACTGCTGAACAGCTCTCACAGTCAGGAATTTCTTCCTAATGTTCAGATGGAATCTCCTTTCTTGTAGTTTGAAGCCATTGTTCCACGTCTTAGTTTCCGGGGCAGCAGAAAACAAGCTTGATCCTTTCTCCCTATGACTTCCTCTCACATATTTATACATAGCTATCATGTCTCCTCTCAGCCTTCTCTTCTGCAGGCTAAATATGCCCAGCTCTTTAAACTGCTCCTCATAGGGCTTGTTCTCCAGACCCTTGATCATTTTAGTCATCCTCCTCTGGACACATTCCAGCTTATCAACATCTCCCTTCAATTGTGGTGCCCAGAATTGGACACAGTATTCCAGATGTGGTCTAACCAAGGCAGAGTAGAGGAGTAGGATGACTTCCCTGGATCTAGACACTATACTTCTATTGATGTTGGCCAAAATCCCATTGACTTTTTTTGCTGCCACATCACATTGTTGGCTCATGTTGGAAAATGTTGCCCTGGCTAGACCATCTGGACACCAGCTCTGGGGCAAATATACCCCTAAGTAGACATGACCTAAGACAGGCTTCCGATTAGTTGGAATTTACTTGAAGGCATATAACAGCAGCAGCAAGCAGCATACGATATTACAGTGGTGAAACACCAGAGATTCTAGTGATATCTTTTTCTACCCATTGGATCTAACATAGGCCATACAAGTTCTGGACATTTTCAAAAATAGTTTCTGAAATTATTGCAAAATAGGATTTGCCCCCAGTTGGGCGTGCACTGAGTGGCTCACTGAGATCTCAAAACCCACCAAAATGGTCTTGAAATGCATTCTCCATACCTCTGCTAAAATGTATAACTAGTAGGGAAATTGAACAGCAAAACAGGCATGATGGGAAAGAACAGAAGTCATTTGATATGGTTAACTAGCTTCTGGATTGAACTTTTAAAGAAAATGTACTAGGAATTTTAATTTGTGTGGGAAAATTATTATCACTCTTGCTCACTTTGAGAAGGTTGCATTGGGAGAAAAAACTCTATAAATCATAGAATCATTTAGTTGGAAGAGACTTCGTGGGCCATCCAGTCGAACCCCCTGCCAAGAAGAAGGAAAATGGCATCCAAAGAACAAATGTTGGTTTGTTCATTTGTTGGTTTTTTTTTAAAAAAAAATACTTAGTAGTAGTACAGATGGTTTTAGTATAGTCCTGTGGGTTACACATTATTATAATACACACCATAAATAGAACATTGCAAATATTTTTATTAGCATTTAATTTCCTTAATTGTTTCATTGAACTTTAACTCATCTTTCTTCTGCTTACAGCTGTTATTGATGATGTCCAGTCATTTATTGACAGGAGTCGAAGACTAATCATTATACTGAGCAAGAATTACATTTCTGACCAAGTCATGTTTGAACTTGAAATGGGGCTCCACAAGGCTTTAGTTGAAAGAAAAATTAAAGTAATATTAATAGAATATATGCCTGTAACTAATTTCAATTTCCTGCCCACGTCTTTGAAACTTCTTTCATCCAGACAAGTGGTGAAATGGAACAAAGAGAAATCATTGTCTTTAAATTCTAGGTTTTGGAAGAAGCTCCGTTATGCAATGCCTGCTAAACCCCCCTTGAGAAAAACATTGACTACTTCTGAAGAGCAGAATCTTTTCAGGACAGAGCATTAACAACTAGTGTGTTGTGCGCCATATCGGGATTGTCTCTGACCACAGTGTTACCTCTATTTTTCCTCAAACTACTATCTTTTTCCTTTGAAAGGAAACATGGTGGGGGGAGTAGGTGGGGGTGGGCACAAGTTTCCTCATTGGCTGGTCCGTGGAACTCCCTGCTATGGGAAACTCAGCCAATTCCATTGTACTTCTGTTGACAAAGTCCTTTTTGTTCAAGTAGACTTCTGAAAATGGACTGCAGAAGAAGATGCTGTGAACATGTGGATATGGTTTCCTGTTGATGTGTGTTTTCAATGGCTTTTCAAGTGTGTTTAAAATTTAAGATCAGCTGGGGAAGCCCTGTTCTCGATCCCACCTTCCTCGCAAGTGCACCTGGCAAGGACAAGAGACAGGGCTTTCTCAGTGGTGGCCCCTCTGCTGTGGAACTCCCTAGGGATATTAGATTGGCCCCCTCTCTCCTTACCTTCTGAAAAAGAGTAAAAACTTGGCTTTTTGAATAAGCGTTTGGAAGTGCAGTGGAATAGGTAATTATGAAATAGGAAGAATGAACATCGAATAGCTGGACAATCCTGCTGGATAATGATTTTAACAGGACAACAGGTGATTATATGTTTTTAAATGGTTTATATATGCTTTTTTGATGTTGAGTTGAATGTTTTAAACTGTATTTTTATGAATGCATAGCAGTAAAATTGCTATTTCTGTAAGTTGCCTTGAGTTGCCACAAGGCTGAGAAAGGCGGGCTACAATTGCTGCAAATAAATAAACAAATAAAAAACCATTTGTTTGGTGTCTACTGTTATAATTTATTATGTTTTTATCCTTTTTCTAAACTGTTCTGAACTGTGGATTTTAAATTTGCATTTTATTTGTATGTTTTAAATGTTGTACTATGTATTTTGGTATATGTGTTTTGGTTGTATTGTACCCCATCTTGAGCTGTGAGAAGAGGTGAATAATAAATAAAAAATAAAATTACTACACTATCTCTGTCCAAAGTGGTACCATTTGTGTGTCATGATCAACTTTGCCTTCAAGTGATATTCAGAAAATGAATAGTAAGTAGACAATTCATGAAGTAAGGAGCAGGAACTTGGAGCTGAAGCTGGAAAGAATGATAGAATGATAGGGCCATCCGGTCCAATCCCTTTGTGCCATGCAAAAATACATAAACAAAGCATTCTCATCAGATAGAGATCCAGTTTCTTTTTTAAAACTTCCAAATAAGAGGGTTTTGCATAATGGAGGAAGGGGCCAAATAAGGACACCCCCCCCCCCACTGAGAACTCTACCACATCAAATAATTTTTTTTCTTTAGGTTCGCAAATATCTAGTATAATAGAACATGAGACATTCAAAATCTTTCACAACAAGAACTCTCCCACTTTCTGTGTTTACAATCCCTGGGTAACTTTACCACTTTTTCTTTGGATGTTGGAATCCTGTTTCTAAATACAGTGCAAAAAATTTAGGGATAGGAGAAAAAAAATAGTGGTGCGAGAAGAATTCTTATTCATGGACAATGTACTCATTTTTCGCTCTCCCCGCTACACTCCTAAGTGAAGGCTAATGAGAAGGTGAAGGGAGAAAGCCCATCTGAAGATATTTGCCTGAACAAATTATTGGTTCCAGCTGATTGCACAAACTGCCAAATTTTGCACTCTTAAGCCTCCATTGTGTATCTTTGTGTTATATTCTCCTTTCCTTGCCTGTCTAGTTATCAAAAGTGGAAGGTGTTCTGCTTTTAGACTGTATGTGTGTGTTTTTGACAAGAGGGGAAAATATTTGCGCTCTCTCCAGGTTTAATGGAATGTTTAATGTTGTGAACACAGCATTTCACTCCATCTTGTGAGTTCATTGTTCCCAAAAAAATATTTTGTGGGCAACACAATCTGCCATGAAAAGGGCCCGCTTCAGAGATTTTGGATTTTCTTCCTGTCAGAAGGGCATTTTGGAGGGGAGTATGCCAAACAGGGAGATGTGGCAGAAGCATATTGATGGCCCATTAACCCTTAAAGGTATTTCTACCTTTTATTTTACAAGACCAATTGGGGGGGGGGGGGGGGTGTTTTTGACTATACTATAACCTCCAAGCATTTAGGCTATGGACTTTTAATTAATGTTTCAAAGCTTACTCAAAGAGTAACCCAGCAGTAACTGGAATGGAGAGTACCAGATTTTTTAGTATTTTAAAGGTAACATGCTATTACTTATTGGTTCTACTCATGTTAGCAGTGTACATATATGTACCTTCCAGCTGTTCCAGTTTGGGCCCTTCCAGGGCCCTTCCACACAGCCTTACATCCCAGGATATCAAGGCAGAAAATCCCACAATATCGGCTTTGAATTGGTTTATCTGAGTACACTCAGATAATGTGGGATTTCCTGTCTTGATATTCTGGGATATAGGGCTGTGTGGAAGGGTCCCCAGACAGACCCTATATCCCAGGATCTAATCCAAGGTTTTGTGTTTATCCCAGATTACCCGGCAGTGCAGACTCATACAATCCAGTTTAAAGCAGAGAACCTGGGATCAGATCATGGGGCAGTTCTGATTCATCCATTCTTGCCCCACTTTCTCCCATTATCTCTTGTTTGAGAAGACAGAATTGTAACCTCGGTGTACTCAGGCAAAAGCAAACTCCAGTGGGTCCTCAGAGTGTGTATGTTTGTGTGTGCTTCTTTCACAGATCCCAGCTTTCATCTATGAGATTTTGGAGGCTGTGAAAACCTTGGAAGGGGAGGAAATCAGTGATGGCTGCTGCCAGAGTAGTGTTTGTCTTCATAAAGCATCCCACGCTCAACATACAGGACAGTTTGTCTGCAATTTCCTCTGAAGCAATAGTGATTTCTGAATTACTGCCAGATGTAGCAAATATGAGTAAACAGTTCTTGCAGTGGTGAGGAAAATGCAATGGGGCTCCCAGGCATCTTTAAATGAGTGGAGCAAAGCTATTTGGCTCCTTCCTAAATGATCTGGGATTGTAGCTGAATTTGAGGAGATACCTGGTTATTCAGACCAGCAAAAAGCTAAGCAACTTGCAAATACTTTCAAAAGGATCTCTACAAAATAGGTAATGGGGCAAACTTTGTTCAGTAGAAGTAATAATTATAAAGTAACATACATTGAGGTAAAAAAAAATAGAGAAAAGTGAAGGGATGGGTGGGAATAAAGGCTTGAAGTGGGTAGTGATTTGGAAAGAGATCTCAGGAATACTAGAATTAGCCATCATCAACTTAAGGACAAATTAGAGGGGAGGATATTTTAAAACTGTACTTCCTGGAGTGAAAGAAAAAGACATCTGACTGTAATAGCATGAACTTTTACTGTTTCTCTATTTCATAAATTAGATTGCTTTCTTTAGTAATTTGTTATCATGAAATAGTACAGATTTCATTTGAAAGAATCACATTCGGGGGGGGGGGGAGTGGGCATGTGGTTACTTTGTATTTATCAGGTCAGACCTTATAGCCTGTATGCCAAGAGTGGGGAAAAACAATTTCTGAGCTGGGAATTACCCCTAGCTTAGCTCAAGTGCTGAAAACTGACTTCAAAGCACAAAAGCAGTTTGCCCTCAATTAATTCAACAGAGGAAAGAGAAAGAGGCAGAATCTTGCTCTTGCACATAAAATCAAGCAAAAGTAAATGGTTGTAGTGTTGCCTAACTATCTTGGGCTATCTTGACCACATCCTGATGTTGCTTGACCACATGTCCCAGCTTTCATGTGTGAACTGTTGGGGTGTATGGAATTCCTCTATTGTTCAGTTACAAAGTGCAGGGATCTTCAGGATTTCAGTGCTGTTACTCTATAGATTTTTTCAGACAGTAGCACACAGTATATAAACTGAAATACTCATAAGTCAACCTTATCTTGTCAGTGATCTGGTGGCAAAAGGGCAGGTGAGCAGATAGATATGAGGAAGAATAACATTAGATGGAAATGTCTTGGCATCAATCTTCTATTACCAACTGCATAACTGGTGGTGATGGTGGTGGGAAGACTGGCATTTCCTGGTGAAATGATCTTGGAAACCTTTACGTAAATAAAGAATAAGACGAGACATCGTTGGTAGCTTTCACTGAAAAGTTCTTTCAGTTTTCCCCTCCCACATTTATGAGTAGAATTGACGGAAACACATAGCAAAAAGGAAGTTGATGACATTGAGATAAAGGAAACTCTGATTAGAAGGAAACTGACATGCCACCTCAGAGCTAATCACAGCTCTTATCATAACTGGCAGGATTCAGAGGTAAGATATTTGTTCAGATAGGAGCCATTTTTTCAGATTACCAATTCTGTAGTGTTCTGCTCCAGATATTTCTGAAGCAAAAGGTTTTGAGGTTTGTTGCCTGTGATGGCCTTATTCTCTTTCCCATTGATAAGCATATTGCCTTTCCTCACTTCTGATTTCTCTCTGTAAGGATTTGTGGAAGGTATATTATCTAGTTGTTTTTGGAAAGATTATTTTGCTCCAGCTGTAATTAACAGTTCCTAATGGGTCAGCATTGTTTAATAGTGCAGCAGAGTCTCGGAGATTTTACGGGTCACATAGATGCTATCATAGAATCATAGAATCAAAGAGTTGGAAGAGACCTCATGGGCCATCCAGTCCAACCTCCTGCCAAGAAGCAGGAATATTGCATTCAAATCACCCCCGACAGATGGCCACCCAGCCTCTGTTTAAAAGCTTCCAAAGAAGGAGCCTCCACCACACTCCTGGGCAGAGAGTTCCACTGCTGAACGGCTCTCACAGTCAGGAAGTTCTTCCTCATGTTCAGATGGAATCTCCTTTCTTGTAGTTTGAAGCCATTGTTTCGTGTCCTAGTCTCCAGGAAAGCAGGAGTAGTTTCCATCTTTCTCTATTTCCCTCAGAGGGAACCAACAAAATATTAATTTCAATTCAAATTGACTTCTTCCTTAGTTTAAATATTATACTTAACCATTGTGGTACATTGTAATACTCTGAGTTTGAATAGTGGCATGATAATTGGTTATATTATAGACATTTTCATTTTACTATAGAAACTTAACAGATCAAGCCTACATCATAATTTTCTCAGAAATCAATTAAATGAAACTCATCCTGATGTAAACTTAATTATGTATATACTTTATCGGAGTCTGTGAGTGGTACTGGTACTGAGTCTGAATAGGCAGCTATAGGATTACACTAGCAAATTGCAACACTATACACTCCAATGAATTCCATTGAACTCATTTGGATTTACTTCTGATCAGACACTTGATGTAAAATTATAACTGATGAATTCTGGAATGTTTTTTGCAGTATTTTTTAGAATATTACCAAAAATTGTGTCCTCTTTCAGGGGCTCAAAAGATCATTAATATTTTCTCTGCTGTGTCCGCCAGGAAAATATTTCCTTTTCTATGTGGGATTATTAGTAATCCTAAGGCATTTCCAAATGGAGGCCTCCTGACAGTAGGGATGAAAAGGCACTGTGCAGCTACTCTGGCCTTTTCTGCTTAGTGGATTTCCCCCAATAAGAAAAAAGATAGAAACAGAGATGGAAAAAGAAGTGAGGAATCAGTGGAGGATGATGAAGATAACCTCATGTAAAGGCCTTGTAAAATTCAATAGACAAGGAAGGGCAATGTTTGAAAGTATCCTTATCTGGAATCTCTATGCTTACTATGTTTTTTAATTACTTTAAATAGATTTTTCTGAGAGCTTCCACTTTATGGAGTTATTGGGTTGTAGCCCTCAAACATGGTTTATATGAGATCCAGATGATATTTTCCACTTGTAATTATATCATTTGTTTTCTCCCACTCTACAAATCTTTTTAAAAATCAAGTAGTCCAAAACCAAAAACAGACAAAATAAGCACACAATGTCTTTTGAGTTTTAGTAGCGCTTGTCTTGAAGCATCTCTTTGTAAGCCTTACACAGCAATCTCTAGATGCTATTTTATATTTATTGTATCAGTATGAAAGTCTGAGGTTGACTAACAGTTACATCCTGGGCATTTGTGCCTAAACTGAGCCACACACTTCCATGCTTATCATTCTGCTCTTTAATCACTACATGAAAATTGCATTTTGAGGGGATCACGTAAAGAAATGTATACCAAGCCAGATAATTGTTCCTTGTTGTCTGCTCCAAACCTGCCCCTTCCAGGAACAATTTCCATGCTAAGCATGATGAGAACTACAACTATGCTTAGAGAAAGTTGGTATATGGAGTTTACCAGCCCTACTGAAAGGTATTGGAACTGTTTTTGCATATAGCATGTACACTGTCATCGAATTACTACCCTTCCTTTATGGTAAGCTGGGTAATCTTTCAGCACAAGGTTGTGACAAGTTTTGGAGACTATGTTCCCATGGGAGAAGAAATAAAAGGATACTTAGCATCATACAATGCTAGTAACCAAGCCTTAAGAGGCTTGTAACCTATTGGAAACTAGGATAATACAAAAAACTGGAATACAGACAAATTTCTATAGGAAACCAACAGTCAGATTTCAGATACCCATGGCCTGAGGTTATTCACCACTGATTTATATCATTTGTTCTACAGCAGGGTTTTTCAAACTCTGTCCCAGAGAAACTGGGGGCCCTTCCACACAGCCATATAACCCAGAATATAACATCAGAATAACCCATAATATCTGCTTTATACTGGAATATCTGAGTCCACACTGCCATATATCCCAGTTTAAAGCAGATAATGTGATATTTTATTCAGCTGTGTGTAAGGGGCCTTGGTGTCCTTCTGCATGATGATGGAGATGTTGCTTAAAAAACGCAAGTCACCATTGATCAACCTTCACCCAGAGGGGAAATACCAGGAATTACTGGTATTGAACTCAGTTTCCCTCCCCACTATATTTAGCAAAATAGTTAGGCTCCACTTGGCTATCTTGGAGGGCTGTAACTAATGAATCGTTAGAGTATCAGTCAAATCACTTATTTATCTCCTTTTAAAAATCCTGCCAAAGGGAATTAGGCATGTTCAGGGTGAAGTGGGTATCATTAGAGGTAGATGAAAACAGAGTTCAGATATCCTCAAATGGGAAACCCACCCCCACAGTAGCATTGGACTCTTGGAGATCACAAGGACTCCTGTTTAGATAGACACACTTTTGATCTAGCAGCATGGCTCTCATCACTTGTCTCAAACCTGCATAGGGCAAATTATGCCCAAAGGTCATCAACCATGACATGAAGAAATGTCATGTTGGATTGATTGATTGATTGATTGATTTAACGTGTCAATTTCCAAAGACAATAAATTAAAAACATTTCCAATAAAATTCAAAAACAATTAATTGAGAACAAATCTTAGGGATGCTAATATTTTGCTGTGGTGTCCTGAATGGTACAAACTATCCCCCAAAACAGTCAACCGTTTGTTCTTTTTAACACTTGTTTTACAGGTAGATAAACTGTCCTGGGAAAAATTGCATTGACCATGAATGTTCAGTGCCAAATGAGAACTCAGTAATGAAGAAATGCCATGCTAGAAAACAATGCTATTTTACTGGATTATTCTGCTATTAATGAAAAGTGCAGAATCCAGAGAGTTTAACATTACAGGTAAGACATCATGTTTTGCTGCTTGTCCACACAGTTCAAATGTTAATTTTCTGTAGTGATGCAGTTAGCTCAGTTTTAATTTTCACACAGAGCATAGCATTTTCCTGTGTAGAAGTTTGAAAATGGATCTTTTTGTAGGTGCAGGTTTTGAATGAAAGCATGACTTTTACCTATAGAGATTTTCCAATCAAATAATTTGGGCTGCTTTAGGACTTTCAGTGGCAAAGTGTACATGTAGAGACATCTTACCTAGGAGATACAAATATTTCTCTCCTATAATCACAGTTCCCTCCCAAAGAGCCTGTAAATTTAGCTTCTCTTTATCATCAGCATTTATTAGCAGTTGATGGAGGAGGGTATGAAACTTAGTACAAGATAATATGCTCTTGTACTAAGTTTCCAACATAAGTCCCTGTCTTCTCTGGGTAGGTGTGGGAAACACCTTTGCTGCCATATAGTATAGAGCAGAAGGGCCAATGATCCCTTGTCATTTGTTTTAAATCAGTTTTGGCAGCTGGTACTCAGGTAAGAAAACTAGAGCCTTTATAAGCTCAGTGAAGGAGAAATTGTTATAATATTACTGAACTGGAAACTAAGGGCCTTATCATATGGAGGTCCAGAAGCCAAGGGACAGTGTGGGAAACTGTGGGACAGCACCTAGCATGTCTCATACTGTGGCTGGTTGTGGTCTGCCATCCTACAACATTTTCTGGCTGTCCCCGGCTTTCTCCTATGCTGTCTTTGGTTTCTTCAATGAGGATACAGGTAGTCACCCATATCCTCAGGCCTCCCTCTTAGCCCACTGCCGACACGCTGCTGGGATGGAGCCCAACAGAGCCATGGCAGAAGTAGCCTTGTGTCATATGATGGGCTCCACCGAACTCCGTCGCAGCTGCATGTCAGCAGTGTGCTAGGATGGGGAAAAAACCCTATTTGATGAGGTCACAATAATGGCTGTGTTTCTTCTCAAATTGTATGGCTCTTTCACATCTTTTCAGGATGTCTTCAAAAACCCAGTGATGTGAGGTATCAAGCCATTAGTGACCAGAAATTTGTTGTATCCTGTGACTTACCATCTGAGGACCCCACCGTGATCTTCAACTCTTCTCATCTCTATGAAAGCCAGGTGCAGTGGTTCTGGCAACCAAGTGATGGAGGAGATGAAACAGTCTTCAAAAATGCAACCAGCAATCCTACTCTTAGGGGGAATGCCCTTTGGTTTGATCCTCTTGAAGTTCAACATTCTGGCACATATGTCTGCATCAATAGGTTTGTTGTTCTGACACAATATTTTCATGCCTCTCCCCCTCCCCCAAATCTCCTTTGGTTAATATGCGGAGTTTGTATCCTCAGCATCTACATCCAAACCTCTTTGGGCCTGACATTCTCTCCGTCTTATATCATCATCTGAAGCTATAACATAAATCAGAAAATATGATTACATTCCAATCTGCTTTCTTATTTTTTATCAGATCATTCTTTGTGCAATTTCATTTGAATACATGACTTTATGTATCTGGAAACCATGCCCTATGAGGAGTGTGTATGAGCTGAATATGTTTAGCCTGCAGAAGAGAAGGTTGGGAGGAGACATTATCATGATGTTTAAATATTTGAAAGGCTGTCAAATGTTTGAAAGGGGGAACAGGCTTGTTTTCTGCTGCCCTGGAGACTAGGACTTGGAGCAATGACTTCAAATAGTAGGAACGGAGATCCTACCTGAACATTAGGAAGAATTTCCTGATTGTAAGAGATGTTCAGCAGTGGAACTGTCTGCCTCAGAGTGTGATCATTGGAGGCTTTTAAATAGAGGCAGCTGGCACGCCACTAGGATGGAGCCCAACAGAACCCAACAGAACGTTCTGTTATATTGAGTTCATTTTATTTCGCATTTCATCTTGATTGTTGTTCGTTTGTTTTTGGCCCTGAATGTTTGCCATTTTTGTTATCCTTTGAAAACTGCCCTGAGTCCCTTTGGGGAAAGAGGGCAGGTTATAAATAAAGTATTGTCGTCGTCGTTGTCATCATCATCAAATGTGTTGATTGTGCTTTTCCTGCATGGCACGTCTCTTCCAACTGTTATTCTATGATTCTATTTTAAATTGGATTTTGTGTATTCATATTGATTTGTCATCCATTGCTCAGAATGTGTTTGTTGTTGTTCCCTAAAATGTTGTATGATGCATTATGATCTCCCTGCTATAGTGCTGAAATGGGAAGGATTTAAATGTGTAGGTGAAGATTCATTATGTATTTTAAAACAATAAATTATATTGTTGTGTGTGTCTTAGCGATTTTTCATGCCTTCACAGAATTGAGTCTTCTCAGGGTATTTTTACCTGAACTTCCTTTTATGTTACACAGGGAAAAGATATCACCATGCATCAATATTTTTATAGTTGTTGGAACAAAAGAGGTGGTCAATTGCTCAGGTAAAAGCGTGAATGAGAAATATCTATTTATTTCTCAAGGAACATCTATTTCTTGCCCAGGAAAAGATTGTTACCATAATTTTCAGCATTCATCAGTTAAATGGTACAAGGTAAGATCAATTTGGGGTCAGATAATTCTGTTTTCTATTTAGAATTGTATTATTGGGTGTGTGTGTGTATGGAGACTTGCTTTCTGTGATCAACTTTTGCCAGACATTGTTCATAGACTCACACTGGAGGACTAGAGATTTGTAGACAGAACACTTCTCTAGGAATCTCTAGGTCCTCCTAGAGTAGTGCTTCCCAAACGTTTTTCGACAAGGGACCACTCTCCAACATTAGTACCAAAAGGGTTACGAATACGTTTTTGATCAAGTTTAGATTTCGTTTGGGATGCTGATTCAGAAAATTACATTGCATAGACCACATCAGCTCTAGTTTCTAATACCAAACATATGCCATGGTCAGCGACAGGGAAGGAGTAGTAGACGGCACAAAAGGAATGGAAATAAAATAAAATAAAGAGGAACAAAGCTCGTGGACTAGATTTTAATCCTCGCGACCCTCTGGTGGTCTGAGGCCCACAGGTTAAGAACCACTGCCCTAGAAAGATGTTTTCTCAGATAAAAATAAAGGTTTTTATTCATAGTTTTCCACCTTTGTGGGGGTCCTGTGTACCCTATTTATTTATCGTGTCATCTGCAACCAGAACATTGTATTACATTTCTAACAGAACAAAACAAACAAACAGATTAAAAAAAACCCACAAATTTTGCAAACTTGGTAGCTGATTAAATGTCCTTTGACCAGTATCTGGCCACTTGGAGTGCCTCTGGTGTTGCCGCAAGAAGGTCCTCCATTGTGCATGTGGCGGGCTCAGGTTGCATTGCAGCAGGTGGTCAGTGGTTTGCTCTTCTCCACACTCGCATGTCGTGGATTCTTTGTAGTCTCATTTCTTAAGATTGGCTCTGCATCTTGTGGTGCCAGAGCACAGTCTGTTCACTGCCTTCCAGGTCATACCGTCTGTATGCCCAGGGGGGAGTTCCTCATCTGGTTTCAGCACTGATTGAGGTTCCAGGGTTTGAGCCTGCCACTTTTGAACTCTCGCTTGCTGTTCCAGTGAGTGTCTCTGTAGATCTAAGAAAACTATTTCTTGATTTAAGTCGTTGACGTGCTGGCTGATACCCGAACAGGGGATGAGCTGGAGATGTCTCTGCCTTGGTCCTTTCACTATTGGCTGCTACTTCCCGGCGGATGTCAGGTGGTGCAATACCGGCTAAGCAGTGTAATTTCTCCAGTGGTGTAGGGCGCAGACACCCTGTGATAATGTGGCATGTCTCATTAAGAGCCACATCCACTGTTTTAGTGTGGTGAGATGTGTTCCACACTGGGCATGCATACTCATCAGCAGCAGAGTAGCATAGCGCAAAGGTAGATGTCTTCACTGTGTCTGGTTGTGATCCCCAGGTTTGTGCCAGTCAGCTTTCGTATGATATTGTTTCTAGCACCCACTTTTTGTTTGATGTTCAGGCAGTGCTTCTTGTAGGTCAGAGCACGGTCCAGAGTGACTCCCAGGGATTTGGGTGCGCTGCAATGCTCCAGTGGGATTCCTTCCCAGGTGATCCTCAGAGCTCGGGATGCTTGTCTGTTCTTAAGGTGAAAGGCACATGTCTGTGTTTTAGATGGATTAGGGATCAGCTGGTTTTCCCTGTAATAGGCAGTAAGAGCACCTAGAGCTTCGGAGAGCTTCTGTTCAACCATCTCAAAGCTCCCTGCTTGAGCGGTAATGGCACGATCATCAGCATAGATGAAACTCTCTGTCCCTTCTGGCAGTGGCTGGTCATTTGTGTAGATGCTGAACATGGATGGAGCAAGCACGCTCCCCTGAGGCAGGCCGTTCTTCTGTTTCCGCCATCTGCTTCTCTGGCCCTGGAACTCAACAAAAAAGCTCCTGTTTTGTAGCAGGTTTCCTATGAGGCGGGTGAGGTGGTCGTCCTTTGTGATATTATACATTTTTCTCAGGAGGAGGCGGTGGTTCACAGTATCATAAGCCGCTGACAGGTCTATGAAGACAGCTCCTGTGATCTGCTGCCTTTCAAAGCCATCTTCTATGTGCTGAGTTCAGCACTTGCGATGTGCAGCTTTTGCCTTTCCTGAAGCCAGCTTGCTGTGGAATCAGACATGGGTCTATTTTTTCCATAATTCTATGCAAAATAAGTCTCTCCAGAACTTTGTAGAGGTGGCACAGCAGGGAGATTGGTCTGTAGCTTTTTGGATCATTACGGTCTTTGCCTGGCTTCAAGATGGCAATGACTCTTGCTTTCCTCCAGATTTTGGGGATCTGACAGGATGCAGTGCAGTTGTTCATCAGCTCCAGTAGCCAGCACTTTGCTTTTGGGCCAAAGTTCTTGATTTGTTCCATCCGTAGATCATCCAAGCCAGCTGCTTTGCCATTCTTACATTTATTGAGAGCCATGTCCAATTCAGTAGATGTAAAGGGTTCATGAAGGTTGTTGTTCTCAATCTCTTGTTGTCTGGCTATTGGTTTCTTTCCTACTTTGGTGGCAAGGTTGGGTTTCCCGTTCTTCAAGAGTTGGTGTGCTATCTGATCTGCCTTTATGTTGGCATGGGTATTAGTTTGTGAGGGGTCATTGCTCAGCCGTCTTAGCAACCTCCACGCCTTCTGGCTGCTCCTGCCCATGTCGACCTCTGTGATCAGCTTGATCCACTGTTCTTTCTTGGCTTCAGAGATGGAGGACACAATGCTCTGCGCTGCCTGAAGAGTCTGCTCACTAAATGGGTCTTCGTTGTGGAGCCTGTAATAGTTTTCCAACAAGGCAGCTGTTTCAGGAGTAATGCCCTGAAGGTAGTTGGTTCTGCAGCCTCTCGGTATGGAGGCCCGTGAGCAGGTTTTCACTATTTCAATAAAATGCTCGTATTCCTCAGGGATTGGCGCGACCGATGTGATCATGTCATCTAACATGTCTGAGAATTTAGTCCAATCTGCCTTTCTGAAGTTGTATCTTCGTTTAAATCGAACTTCCTGAGGCCTTATTGCTGGGAACAGTTGGCATATTATTGGTCGGTGGTGTGTGTTTGGAATTGGTGGTCCCACTGATTTAGTGCATTGCTGTATAGCAATGCACAGCAATGCCTGTGTACTCAACCACTGCATAAGTGGAAGGTGTACTGCTTTGTGAATCAGAGTCTATATACATCTGAATACAAGTAGTTGGAAAACAACACTGGGAGGAAACTTATCACTTTAATGTTTTGTAGGCTTCCCAAAATCACGTGCTTGCTTAGTGTAGGGAATAGGGCACTATAGGTTTTTGGTGAGATTTTTTTTCTGATGAATTATGTACTCTTGAATAGAGAGTAGAAAAGTTACTTGGGCAGGGGGTTCTGGGACTTTTTGTCCAGACAGTAACCTTTCCAAACTCTAACAATTATTGTAATAAATTGGGTGAACATGAACATTTCAAAGCGGGCTTCAGAGAAGCATGGACGTTGCACCTCACTCAGGCCTGGAGGGAGATCAAAAAGAAAATTGCATGACTATGCCAGCAACAGGGAGAAAGTATGTATCTTTTCTCCATTTTATCTAAGCCACTTCAGAAATTAGCAACTGGGGCAAATGAGTAGGTAACTGGGAATTCAGGCAAAGGTAGATCCTCCCTGGTACAGGATAGATCACATCCTTCAATTCATCCTTTGCTAGTTGCCAAGTGCTGCCTAACAATCTAATGTTGTGTGGGATGGTTTGTCTTCTTTTTATCCCTTTAGAATGGAAGAAAAATAAATCATGATAAGATCAAAAGACCTGACCTACAGTTAAAGGAAGATAAACTGATATTACCTACAGTCTATGACAAAGATAATGGTACTTACGTGTGTGATTACACACTGGTTGATAACAATGTTCAGTGGCAAGTGAGAACAATAGTTGATGTCATTATTATCGGTAAGTAGTATGCCTCCATTGTAGCAATTCATTATATTCTGGTATAGATGTACAAGATAGGCTGCAGGCATTTGCTTCGGGACTGGGGAACAATTTGCCTAGAGACTGGCAAAAATCACTTTGAATGCGATTTTCCTGCTTCTTAGCAGGGAGTTGGACTAGATGGCCCATGAGGTCTCTTCCAACTCTATGATTCTATGATTCTATAGGGCCTCATCACAGTAGAGAAAAAAATCCACTTAAGATCCGGTTTCTGCCTCCTACAAAATTATGGGGTTTGTAGTTTAGGAAGGTTTCTTTAACAGCCTCACTAAACTTTAAACCCCAGAATTCTACAGGAGGCAGAAACCAGATTTTAAGTGGATTTTTTCTCTAGTGTGATGAAATATGCTGGTTTCCCAAATGTGCTAAACAACCGTCTATGCGTCTCTTTCCAACTTGTGCCCTGAATGGAATACTGCATCCAGAGGCGGCCCTAGGTAATTTTCAACAGTAAGCAAACATTTTTTTGCCCCCTCCCCCAACCAATCACTGATATATATTTTCTGTTCGTCGTGGTAGTTCTATGTGCCATATTTGGTTCAATTCCATCATTGGTGGAGTTCAGAATGCTCTTTGATTATACATCCCAGTAACTACAACTCGCATATGTCAAGGTCTATTTTCCCCCAAGAGCACCTCAACAGCGCCCCTGGGCAAAATCAACTGTACTGCAAATGCTTACTTTGCTTAATGGGTTGAGCCGCCCCTGACTGCATCCATTTGGAACAGAAATGGAGGGAAACTAAGGGATTTGAGATAAAAAATAACTAAAATTGGAGGGTTAAGGTGGAGTCTTGGAAGACTGATGTGGGATTAAACTGTCAGAAAAATGGGCCACAGTTTTGCCATCCTCTATCCCCATAATCTCCTCCTTTTTTCAGTCCAGAATTTAAGCTGATTCACAAAAGTTAAAACAGATACTACTACATGTTCATATAACACAAAAAGACAAAAATACAATTAAAGTATTAATAGAATTAAAAGCACTTAGGACAATGAACGTTAGAAAAGAATAGATAGAGGCAAGACAACATATTAGGAAAATCTGTTCCTACCGCAGTAGTGAATCTATTCAGCTCTCAATACTATTAAACATTCAAATGTATTCAAATAGTATTTGACTGAGTTGCTTTCATCCATCATTCCATAGTACTCTAGTTACTTAAGACTCCATTAAATAATTTTCTTGGACTTGATATACGCTGTTCACACATTTACAAAGTATTTTGAATGAACACATAAAGACGAGTGTGTGGATCCTACCTCCATCACCAGTTCTGCTCAAAGGGAGCATGCTCAAGTCTACACAGCCCCCTCTCTCATTTTCTCTGCTCTTAGTACCTACCTGCTGATGTTCTAGGGTTCCTGATTACATAGAATTGGACCATAAACTTCTATCTTCACCTGTTGATCGAAGTCCTTAAGAAAAATTACTATAGTTTGTGTTAAGAAGTGCCTGATGGACTGCGTGTTTGTGACCTCCCACTTTTCATATTGTAGCGAAAGACACTCTGAATCCTCCTACAGTTTTGTATCCCAGCGGTGTGACAATCCTGGAAGTAGAACTTGGTAAGTTGGTTACATTGAAAAATCAAGAAAACTTAAATTCCAATCAACAGAACAATGTTTTCCAAAGACTTTGATTTATGTGCTCAGATGTTCTTTTTGTTTTAATGCTTGTAATTAAATAATATACGGAGCTCCCATTGGCACAGTGGGTTGAACCGCTGAGCTCCTGAACTTGCTAATCAAAAGGTCACAGGTTCAAATCTGGAGACGGGGTGAGCTCCCGCTGTTAGTCCCAGCTTCTGTTAACCTAGCAGTTTGAAAACATGCAAATGTGAGTAGATAAATAGGTACTGCTTCGGTAGGAAGGTAATGGTGCTCCATGCAGTTATGCTGGCCACATGACCTTGGAGGCGTCTATGGACAATGCCAGCTCTTAGGTTTAGAAATGGAGATGAACACCAACCCTCAGAGTCGGACATGACTGGACTTAATGTCAGGGAAAAACCTTTACTTTTAATTATGAACAATGCAAGCATTTTCATTCTGGTCTGGAACATGTCTATGTTCAATATGCTGAATTTTACATGTCCTTATTTGTTTTTTCTTTTTCTTTTGCTCAGGACAATATGTTGAGCTTGAGTGCAAAGCCAAGTTTGGATTTGAAATGAATGCCTCATCTTCAATACAGTGGTACATAGAAACTAGTGAAAATAAGGTACTAGCGTCTAAAAAAAGGTAAATAATCTCCAAATTGAATATAGCAAAACATTTTTTAAAATATATAATTTCAGTGAAAGAGAGAATTGTAGATTCAGAGCAGCATTTTATGTAATGTTTTATGTGATACATAAGCCAGGAAAAAACAGGGGTTGCTGGAATCAGAAGTAGTTTTCTTCATTTATACGTCATTTTCCCTATGTTTTCAAGAGCAATCTCCTTAGTTTTGGAAATTTTTCACCATTGGTAAATTATTACCTTCTGATTGGTTTTGTTTTATATTACTGCACAGAGGAATAAGTACACAACTGTACAAGGATAGTAGGGTTGCATCTACACTGTAGAATTAATACAGCTTGACACCACTTTAACTGGCTTGGCCTAATACTATAAAATTCTGGGAATTGTAGTTTGGCAAGGTGCCAGCAAAGAAGGCTAAAGAACTGTAAAACGACAACTTCCAATTTTTTCTGTGTCAGGAGTGACTAGAGAAACTGCATGTTTTTAAGTGCAGCAGCTAAATTGTTATCAAACTGCATTAATTCCGTAGTGGAGATGCACCATAGGTATAATTTTGGCTGGAAGCATAGCAGGATACTATGTGACAGATCCTAGAAGTGTGATTACTTCATACTTGAAGGGCTAAAGTAAAAAAAATGTGCATGAAACAATGTTTTTTATACATTGAACCATCACTATCTCAGCCACCCATGTGTTGAGGGGAAATGCCTTCTCATTGGCTGTCTATGGAAAATGTCCGTGTTCTGCACTTTGAGTCATTGTCAGAGAGAAAATTAGACCAGCCATGATATAAAAATATCATTGTCAACTAGCATCCAGTGGCACTGTAAATCTATGAACATTGATTCTAACTAGTGTGTTATGGAAATATTATTTTCTTTAGGGTTCATCCAAAGGGACTAGAAGGCCAAATCTTTAATAATGTTTTCACCCTGATGGAAATAAGGGAAGAAGATTTAAGATGCCATTTCATTTGCTTGGCTCAAAACTCCATTGGCTACTCCACTGGCATGTTCAGGCTTGAGAGAAAAACAGAAAGAGGTAATTGTGTATGTGTAATTGATATCCTGCACACAACTTAAGATAACTTATATTAGTTATCCACCATTGTCAGATATGTTCTTTAAATAGCAAAAATGACAAAAAATTAAAAGTACTTTAATACTACAAGTATTGCTATGCATTCCTGTCTTATCCAATCCTAGAGAGACATTGGCTAGTTCTAACACTACTTATAAGATGGATTGGAGAAAGGTCTATCTGGAAGTAAACACTTAAGGGGTCTCCAGAAAAAGCATAGAGACAGCAGACCTTTCCTGTTGTTTATTTGTTCTCTAGGGTCTGGTAATCAAGAAACAGTGCCTCAAAGTATGGAAGTTCAATATATTGCAATTATAATGGCAAACAGCTATAAATATATTGGTCATCTGTGCATTTATTTAAACCTTTGTTAAAAGCATTCAGACCTCATGTCAGGTGAACAAATGGATCACTGCTAGAGCTTAGAAAAGTTTCTTTTTGAATTACAGCAGGGGTCCTCAAACTATGGATACAGCCCTCACTCAGGGTCAATCTAAGTCTGAAACAACTTGAAAGCACACAACAACAACAACAACAACAACAACAACAACAACAACAATCCTATCTCATTAGCCAAAAGCAGGCCCAGTTTATATTTGTTGATATTGTTCTTCATTTTAATTATTGTATTGTTTTAAAGTGTGTGTTTTTTGCACTACAAATAAGATATGTGCAGTGTACATAGGAATTCAAATTATGTTATTTTTAAAAAATTATAAGCCGACCCTCCAACAATTTGAGAGACTGTGACCTGGCCCTCCGCTTAAAAAGTTTGAGGACCCCTGGATTACAGTTTCTACAACATTCCAGTCAGTGTGACCACTGTGTTGACTGGGGATTCTGGGAGTTGTTGTCCAATAAGTAACTTTTCTAGGCTATGCATTTACTTCAGGCTTTTGTCTCTTGGCTTTACTAACTGTACCAGTAGAATAGAATACATCTGCTATTTTTGAGTCATGCAGCAGATAAATAGAATACTTATGTTCTTATAGCCTTTCTTTACTCTTTTAGGCAATAAAGTCTGCTGTGCTCTTTTTATCAAAATGGTTCTCCTTTTCCTACCATTGAACAAGTCCAAATCACAAAATAATTAATAATAATAATAATCATCATCATCATCATCATCTTTATTTATATTTCGCTCTATCTCCTCGAGGGGAGTCAGAGCGGATGACAGTATACAGATATACAGGCAAACATTCAATGACCTTTTATATAGTGAACAATGACATGCAATACACAAACAAAAGCCTTTCCCTTTTCATCTCTGGCATCTGGAGGTGATGTTCAGCTCGGGCCATGGGGAGGTGCTCTCATTCCATTTTTCCGTGCTGAGGACCCTGTTGTCCATAGACCTTCCTGGTCATGTTGCTGTCATGGGTGCCTTTTACCTTCCCGCTGAGGCGGTACCTACTGATCTACTCACATTACATGTTTTCGAACTGCTAGGTTGGCAGGAACTAGGGCTAACAGTGGGAGCTCACCCCAGCCCATGGCTTTGAACAAGTTTTTCTGCAGCTAGTGGTTTAACCCACTGTGCTACTGCAGCCCCAAGATGTCCAGAAGTTACTTTTTGGACTGCATCCCCTTAAACCTCCAATGATTAAAACCACTGCCCATTCTTCTTAGGAGATTCTGGAAGTTTGATTAAAAAGTGACATTTCCAGCCTCTGGTTATATATGAATGAAACCTTCTTGGAACTATTCATATATATATGCTCTGAAAATAAAACAAATGCCTCATGAACACACGACCAATATGTGTTCAAATTTGAGCAGTTAACATTGCTATTTAAGTCACCAATTAGCAGAGTCTTGCCGAGATATTTTAAGACCACTTTATTTCCATCTTTTAGCTTTTCATCAATATTCCATTTACCCAAATAGCAATGCTTTCTCCTTTTTAGGTATCTATTTCCTTCTGGTTTTGTGCTGTACCATCACAACACTTCTTGGAATCATTTTGGGAAGTACACTGGCTTACTGGCGCTGGATTGATCTAGTGCTTCTTTATCGGTATTACCTGGCCAAAGATGAAACCATAGGGGGTAAGAATGCCTCAGTTATAATTGTTCTTATGTTGTGCAGTTTCTTTAAGGATGGCTGGCTGGCTGGATGCATGGATGCATGCATCATCATGCATGGAGCTAGATACCAAGGACTTCATAGTGGCATTTTATCCTTACAACAACACCATGAGATGTGTGAGGACATACAGTTGTTTGAAGATTATGCCCAGGCTCCCATTTTGCATATTAATGTATGCTGTTACATTTTGTCTCCCTCTCATTACTGTTTCATTCTGGTTTTTTTTAAAGGAACACCTATCAAAGCACCTTATTTTAACAATGCTTTGTTTTACCTAGCTATATGAACTATGTTGTAACCCACCTCGGGTCACATGGAAAGGTGGGAAATAAATAAATAAATAAATAAATATTATGTTATTTTATAATCTGAAGAAATTGATTAATATACACAAAATATTGTGCTAAAATTGTTCAATTAGTTTGAACAGCACTGCTAGATTCCCCCTTCCCCTTTTTTCAGTGAATGGTCAAGGTCAAACCATAAGACTGATAATGGAATAGGAATTCGAAGCATGGTCTTTTGAATACATCAGGCTAGCTAACCCTCTACAGCAGGAATGAGAAGCATGCAGCTCTGCCAGTACTGTTGCACTGTAAATCCAAGCATCATTATCGGTATAGCCAATGGTGGGAAATATTGGACGTTGCAGTCCAATAGAATCTGGAGGGCAGCATGATGTCCATTCCTCTTCCACTTGGAGGACTAAAAGACAGTATACCCCATAAAGCACTTCTGTACAGAAGACTCAAGCCATGTCTACACAGGCCAAATAATGTGGACTCAAGTCTCAGCTGCTGTGGTGGGTCTGCACAATGCACAGTAGGATTAGTGGGAGCAGCACTGGATCAAGCTGTTAATTCGGCTCAAGGAAAAATGAGGTTTAAACCAGAATTATCAGACATCTCCAGAGTGATCACAAATTTTGGCTGGGTCCACCGTGTACTACTCCAGGGGACCCATGATTGTGTCACTGGCCACAATCAGCTCCCTGCTAGATGCTTGCCTGCAACATTGTTATTGATGAGGTCCTACCAGGGCACTCATCCATGTGACCAGCAAATGCATTGTTGCCAGCAAGCCTTTTGCTGGAAGCTGCTTGTGGCTGTTGATATGGTGGCAATGGCGGTGGTCGCTTCAATGCACTTCCAGCTCAACTAGCTGTGTGGACACCAAAGGGCTCTGGGGACACTACCAGGCTGCATCAGGACAACTCTGCACTAATCTGGAACATATTTCTCAAATGTAGGGAAAACAGATGATGAGAATGCTGAACTATCAGGTATCTTCACAGTTCGGGACTTTATCTGTGCAAAATTTGCACATTTCACAGAAAACATTTTCTGCCAAGAATATTTCTGCAGAAATTCTGTTTCTTGCATCAAAAATGCTGTTTTCTATGCAACTTTTAGATCTTTGGTCTTCCAGATATGGTTTGTATGTATGTGCATTTCAAGCCACCCAATGACTAATAGTGGCCCCATGAATTCCACAGTATTTCCTTGGGCAAGGAAGCCTCAGAGGTGGTTTTGCCAGTTCAGTCCTCTGAAATACAGCGTACAGTTCTGGTATTCCCTTGCAGTCTCCCATTTAAGAAGTAACTATGGATGACCCTGTTTATCTTGTAAGATCAGTAAGGATTTGGTGTCTTTCAGGTATTTGGGCCCTTGGAAAACAAATTCCTAACCTGCTGAATATTTTCTTCACTGCTGTATCTGCCTCCAGCATTGCTATTTTGCACACAAGGGCTGTTTAGCAAGATCAGCTTAGTCCTGAACAGGCAGCAGAGTTTGGGTGGAGATAAAAATGAATTGAGGAAATAAAATTAGATCAGAAATAGAAAATTCTTAAGAAAATTGACACTGAAGAATTATTAGAACATATTTTAAATGTATTCATTCTGCTATCCTGCTTAAAGTGTGAATACCAGGCTAAGAAACTTGCTTAAGGCCACCTAAAACAAGATTTTGAAGTTGAAATTTCCATGTCAAGCCACAAACAGAAAATCAAATTCAAATATTTTTAAACGTTGATGTGCATCAAAATACCATCTAATTGTTTCCTAGAATGGTAGAAAGCTAATTCATCCTTGGTCCAGAATATGTGCAAAAGGGATGATGTCAAAAAGGATTTGAGAGCCTTAATGCTGCAATTCTATACCCGTCTACTGAGATATAAGTGGCACTGAACTTGCTTTAGAGTAACACATGTATTAGATTGCATTTCTAGCATACTGATTAAGTTTACAACATGCATTAGTAACACTTGAAAAAAATCCAGCCCTCCTCAAAGCAAAATGTGGCTCACTGAACTTCCTGACATGATCATGTCCCTTTCCTTTTCTCAGCATCATTGGGTGGTTTCCCAGTTTTTAGTCATTTTGAAAGGACAGAATATCTCTGCTAGACTTAGTTACTGGCAGCAAGAGCTTTTATCCCTCCGCACCTATCTGAGAAGATTTCACTTCAGAGCTCATTTTTTGGGGGAAAGCAGAGCCCTTGTTTTGGCTGTGGTTACACTCCTGCCCTTGTCCATAAGACTCTTTGGATTTGGCCCTCAGGTTGGAAGTATTGCCCCAGCCTTACGTGAAATAGTAGATATTACTCATGTAAAGTGGTATGGTTTCTCGTCATAAGGCATACAACCTATAATGATATAATATTACATATCTCCAAATTAATCCCTGGACAGATTTTGGGATTTGTGGCTGAACATAAAAATACATACATTGCTATCATAATAACCTTAAACATCAGGAAATAATTTCTATGTCAGATTAAAAAATACATTTTTATTTATTTTATCATAATTCAATACATTTGTTATAGATTGTTTCTTTTACAGCACAACACTAATATTTAATACAATCTACCATGCATTAACTTTTGGCATCTACTGTTATTTTTATGCTTTTATATATTATCTATCCTGCACCACTGTGCCCCCCCTCCCCCAAGCCACAGCTTTTATATATCATCTGTCCAAAATTTCAATTCTTCTTGTGGAGGTAACTTTCTGTCTTTCTTTTTGAATCCCTTTTCAATAAATGTTCTCCATACATCATCAAAAGCACTTTGTTTCCATATCCGTACTAACTTTTAATTTACATGTCAGCTTATTATTTATTGCCAATTTCCATTCTTCCTTAAATAATTCCTCTTTTGTATATTTATTTCTCTTTTCCAATTCCTTGCTATAATCAGTCTTGCTATTGTTAATAAGTTTGTTATCACATCTTTATCCTCTTTTTTTCAGTTGTTTATTATTATATAATGATATTAAAGCTATACTAGGGCTTCTTTCTATTTAATGTTCATTATATCCTCTATTTCTCTAAATAACCCCCCTCCCCCAAATTACTTACACATTTACATTGCCGCAACATATGTATATATGTTCTTAATTCTCGGCATGTTCTCCAGCATTTTTTAAAATAGTTTTTATTTATATTTGTAATTCTTATTGGTCTTAAATACAATTTCCATATTAACTTATGGTAATTTTCTTTAACCTGTAATGATAAATTTTTCAAATGCCTTTATTTCCATATTTGTAACCACTCCGTCAGAACTGGTTGACATGTGGAAATAGTTTACTTCCTGCGCACTTGGATTAGATCTCTTGTCCTGTAGCATCCTCTGCTGTTAAAATGAAGAACAATTAATTTTGGATCACATATTGGAAACCAATGGAATTCTGAAACCACGTATCTCCTTATTGCAAAGGCTGATGCAGGCTGATGCAATATTTTCAAGCTGTGGGTGGTTAAATTTGTGGATGCAGAATCTATGGCTATAGAAGACCAATCTTATTTGTCAGATGTAGTTGGTCCTGCTCTCTGTTATACTATTAAAATACTAATTGCCATTATTCATTATGATGCTGGAAATGAATAACTTAGTATGCACATTTTATATGACTTTGTATTTATTTATTTATTTATTTATTTATCCTATTTATACCCAGCCTTTCTCTACCCCCCCCGGGGGGGGGGGGACTCAAGGCGGCTTATACATGGCAATTACCCAATGCCTTAAACAAACATTAAATTAAATTAAATTAAATTAAAAATAATGCATATTAAACATTTAAAATTACATTCAGTATGAAAATCATGCCATCCAGAAATCATAGCCCATAGGCCGTTCCATAATCATTGCACATATTCCCATTATATTATTGCACTGCACTATACTCTGAAGCCTGATCCCAGAGCCAGGTTTTTACTTTCTTTCTGAAGGCTAGGAGGGAGAGGGCTGATCTAATGTCGCTAGGGAGGGAGTTCCACAGCTGAGGGGCCACCGTTGAGAAGGTCCTGTCTCTCATCCCCACCAGTCATGCCTGCGTGGTAGGTGGAATTACTTTCTAGAAGAGGGAGGGGGATAGAATTGATAGGAAAATGTCATTAAGCTTGAAAAAAATACAGTCAAAATGCTTCATTACACCCTAATTGACTACCTTAACTGTAACTCTTTATTTACATGTTCTGCACTGTGGAGCGGTTGCAATTATTCAACTTAAACTATATTTTTGATTTGTTATGCGGTTGCAGGGGCGGGAGGGAGGAGGCATAGGTAATATGCAGAGCTGTTCTGTAGTTTTCATTTGGAACTTTTTCACTCAGTCCTCAGGTATCCTTGAAACTACACTCCTATTTTTGCAATAGTGGATAAGCATGTTTGAACTATAGCTTTCATTAAATGTGTAACTTAATCATTACTTTATTTTTTTTTACTTACTCATAACTAACTGCTCTGTATGTCTCTGTGTATGTGTCTTCCAGTCAAGCTATGGCAGCCTCATGGATTTTCATAGGTTTTTCTTGGGTAAGGCTCCTCACAGATGGTTTTGCCTGTACCTTCCTCTGAAAGGCAGCATACAGCGCCTGGTCTTCCATTCAAGTACTAAGTAGATTCCAAGATCAGACAGGATCTGGCACTCTTGGAGTATTCAACTAGGCATGACTAAAGATATGAGTCTATTTTTCTAAAAAGATAATAATGCTAGGAAGTGCTTTACCTGTTTTGTGCAAATAAAAAGGGTTGTATTCCAGAAATTTTAAAGCAACTATTGTCAATAAGGAAAAGTTTGATTTGTTTGACAAAGTGCAAGACACTTTATAGTACAAGTGTCTTAAATAATACTTCTACTCCTCCTCCCTTTTTGTTCCTTTTTATTTAAAGAATGTTTCCTTCTCCATTGTATTGCTTATGAAAAAAATCAGTCTTTGTTCAGGGGGATGGTGGTGGGATAGAAGAATAAAGTTATTATTACTATTATTTGAAGAGGTAAAAGTTTCCTTTTGACATTAAGTCTAGCCGTGTCCAGTTCTAGGAGGTGGTGCTCATCTCCTTTTCTAAGCCAAAGAGCTGGCATTGTCCATAGACACCTCCAAGGTCATGTGGCCAGCATGACTGCATGGAGTGATGTTACCTTCCCACCAGAGCGGTACCTATTGATCTACTTACATTTGCATGCTTTTGAACTGCTTAGTGGGCAGAAGCTGGGGTTAACAACGGGAGCTCACCCCACTCCCCGGATTCAAACTGCGGACCTTTCAGTTAGCAAGTTCAGCAGCTCAGCAGTTTAACCTGTTGCACCTCTGGGGGCAACAGGTTAAACTGTGTGTGTGTGTGTGTATATATATATGTGTGTGTGTGTGTGTGTATTTGTGTGTGTATGTATACACACACACACACACACACACACACACAGTATTATATTTTATCTGTGTACTTTAACCATGTTCAACCACACCTCGAGTCATAGGAGAGGGAAGTAACAAATTAAATTATTTATTTATTTATTTTTAGATTGCAAGGAATATGATGCATTTGTATCCTATGCAAAGCCAGATTCTTCTCTGGTAGATAAAGCACTGTGCAATGAGGAACATTTTGCCTTGGAGTTTCTTCCTCAGATTTTAGAAAATGAATATGGCTATACGCTGTGTCTTAAGGAAAGGAACATTCTTCCAGGAGGAGGTAATGCCTTAACTAATTGAATAATAATTCCTGTAAAAAAAATTAACCATTTGCTGATAGAAACAAATACTATAGGATAAGTAATCAATATAGCAACACAGACTTACCCTAAAACCAAACACTCAAGTGATACATATCATTTCAGGTCAACATGAACTATAACCTGGTCTCAAAACCATTAGGAAGATTTTTTCTCTGTCTGTTGCCTGCTGATATAGGTGGTGAAAAAAAGAAAGTGACTGTTAGGAGTAGAGATAATTGATCACCTCTCCCAGGGATTCAGTTAGTCCCCTGCTGCCCAGTCATGCCATTGGGGTTCTTTTCGGCAGCTACCCTTTTGGATTCTATAATGCACTTCAGCAGAGCAGGTGTCTATAATGCTCTGCTGAATTCTGGACCTGGCACACATTGGCATCTGCAACAGCACTTTTTTTGGCAGAATTCAGATGTGCCTTGCAGCGAGTATTGGTACTGTACGTTTTGTGGCCAACATTGCTTCAAGTAGGCTGTGAACTTTATTATACTGTCAGTGGAGAAGGACCCTTAGTTAGTCTCATCTGACACAGTCTGGGCTCCATTTCCATGTGCTTTGGAAATGGCACTTCTGGTGGGACTCTGTGAGAATCCATTTCTGAAGTGCATGGAAATGATGACCAGAATGCATTTTTAGAAGGTGTGTGCTACCTGATACCATAATGGTGAAAGACAGGGAAAGGTGGGGGAAGGACATGGCATGGCTGGCAATCCCAGAAGACAGATGTCTATTATTGTTGTTATTGTTGTTGTTGTTGTTGTTGTTGTTGTTGTTGTTGTTGTTGTTGTTGTTATTATTATTATTATTTTCTTTATTTATACTCTGCCTTTCTCCCCATGAGGTCACATTTTTGCCTAAACTCCATACTAGACAAGTTTAAAAGGTACAATAAAAAGTTAAAAAGTAATTAAATCATAACAGTATGGTAAAAACAAATTTGAAAATCAGTAAATACACTAAAATGGCCTTTAAAACTCATATTGCCCCCCCCCCCAATCCCACCCACAGCACCCTCTGAATTAGAACCACAGCTCTCCCTGAACTTCATTTGATGATAAGGAATTAAGTAAGGTGGTTCCCCCCACTTTCCCCTACGCATGGGATGAGGTCCTAAGGTACTACAAAATCCCTTTGACATATTTCAGACTAACATGGCTATGTGTCTGACTGAGATACAAAATATTATGTACATCATTTTAGAATTAAAACTTGGTTTACAATTTCTTAGAATGGTTTAGACACGACAATAGCATTGATTTCTTTTTTCCAGCATACACTGACGACATTGTAAATGCTCTCCGAAGGAGTAGGCGGGCTATAATGGTGCTGAGTCCCAGATATTTCAAAAATACAGAGTCCCTCTTTGAACTTGAAGCAGCGGTTAGCACTGTGCTGGATGATAAAACCATCAAACTCATCCTAATTCAGTTTGAGCCTTTCCAGGAGCCACAATTATTACCTCAGAAAGTGAAGAAAGTTCTCAAGATTTTGCCCAGGATTACTTGGGAAGCATCTACTTCTTCTACTTCTAATAAGCTATTCTCAAAAAAACTGTGGTATTGCATGCCAGTTAAACATACCATAAGAGCTAAAGCCAGGAAGGCTATGGGACAATGGATGTAAAAATATTTTTTTCCTAAATAATTCAGGAGGCATTGCCAGTTTGAATAGACAACACTAGACTGAGTGAATGGTGAAGATCAGTATCACAGTTTCAAAGGTTATTGTTTTGATTGTAAAATCCATAATCTCTGCCCAAACAACATGGACAGTTAGGTAAGATGTGTTGGTTAGGGATCCTGGGTCAAACAATAACAATGAATACTTTTGCTCACCACAGAGAAACTTTGCAGGTTAAAGTTTGATTATCTTTCATGTATCAATAGTAATATAAAATTCTTATTGAAATATTACAAGTATTTTGTACTGTGAAAAGCAGTTAGTATATTTATAAGCGGTGTTTATATATATACTGGCCTTATGCAAATTTATTATTCCTATATTTGTTGTTGTTGGAGAAGTAGTGTTGTGTTTTGTATTGTTTTGTGAGGTTGTGTTTTGAACTTTTACATATTTCAATTATGTGCCTTCAATTGTTTGAAACAGTAACAACAATTGTTTTTATTGAATATTAAATATATTTATATCATATCATAGTTGTGCTATTATAGGATATTTATTTTAAAAATAAAATCTACATTTATTTTGCTTTTATCCTACCTTGTGTTTTCTGGATCTCTGTCTTTGAAGGGAATGCACTTGATTCTATACACATAATAATCTCTTTGGTTTTATTTATTCATGTTATGTGCCCCCATGTCTACTGTGATTTATAGCAACCTTATGGTGGTTTCTTGGCAATGTTTTTTCCAGAGGAAATATGCCACTGCCTTCCTTTGAGGCTGAAAGTGTGACTTTCCAAGAACACCCAGTGGGTTTCCATTTACTGAGTGTAGAGTTGATCATTGGTCTCCCAGGATCTCATCACATTGATGAGGTCCAGTGTTCTGATTCACCAGCCTGAGGGGCAGTGGGGCAATCACGGTCCCCCGTGCCCCATCTCACCACCAGCTGAAGCTTCTCCATCACATGTGGAAAAGCTTCACCATGCAGCTCTCCCCCCCCCCCCCCCCCCCCCCCCACGCTTGCCCCATTATTCCAAATGGAATACGGGGAGGCTCCGTCCTATGGTGTTACCACTCCAGTTGACCCACGGAGCCCCACTGAAAGGGAGGCTATGTCACGTGATGGACGGCATGGGGCTCCATGGGTCAACTGGGACAGAAGCGACCTAGGACACTGAATTTCCATTGTGTGATGAGGTCCCCAAAGTCTCTTCCAATACTCAGATGAATACAGCATGCTGTGGCTTCTGTGGTATATTATACACAGGATAAATTACAAGTATCTTTGTGGTCATAAAACAACAAATAAGTGGGGGACACAATTCACATTAAGTGATGTTTCTTTTTCAGTCATAGTATTTAGAAGTTAAAGTATTTTCTAGTTTGACTAGTTTCACACCTTTTGAGTTTATAAGAAAGGTCACCAAGAGTTTAGATGTTTGATACTCCCAAGTATATCCCGTGCTTTCTAGTGTTTTTCTCATTTGTATCCACTAGATGTCTCTAACATATTCAGTGTATTTGTAAATGAGAACTACCCATTTTCTACACAGAAATGATTAAGCTTAGATAAACTGGGGTGAGTAACAGCGGGAGAGAAACCTGCAGAGCAGCCTCTGTATTCAGATTTTTAGTAGTTCATAGTATTGTTACTTAGCTTAGAAACAGTCATATTGGGTAAAAAACCGTATTTTGTAAGAGGCTACCATTGCAATCCATGCCAGGGGCAGCAATAAATTGCAGAATCCGGACCCTTGTTTCTCCAAGTCAAGCTTGGCTTCAAATCGGCTGTTAATGAAGAAAAGCACTTTGGCACAATGAAACCAGCTGGATACAAACTAATTATGTTCCTTCAGCAATCCATGTTCGTAAACGTAGGAACAAGAAAATTCAAAAAGGCATTTTTGTGAAAAATATCTGTTTCAGAGAATACAGAGAAGTTTTCTTCTTCAGTATGGGCAGCCGGAGCCTCCAGTGTATGAATTTTCTCTGGCTATTACTCTTTCTATCAACCTTGGAGGATTGTTTTGCTGCAAACTATGTGAAATTGCCACCCAGGAATGCTAGTTCTTCAGGTAAAGCTGACCCATTTGATGCTACCGAATCAGGGAGAGATGAGAGGTTGCATGTTTTCACAGTGGATTATGAATATGTGCAAATACCCTACGAAGTCACCCTTTGGATTCTCCTGGCCTCTCTTGCGAAAATAGGTAAGTCAAAACATTTTTGTTGCAGCTTTATACATACTTTCCTGGGAGGAAACTCATCTCATGGGGCTTCCTCTGGAGTAAACATGCATATGACTCTACTGCACATCCCTACATACAAAGGTTAAAAGTAGATTTATTAAGAAAATAACATAAAGAAAATATTACTAGCACGGTAATATATTCTGATTCCTTTAGTGGCTTGATAATGCTTGATGTGAACAATTAAACACCCTTGTTACCAATAATGCAACAACACAAAGTGTTAATAGTATTAAAAGTGAACATCCTTTGAGTCCCGTATTCAATAACCTGGGAGTAAGACTAATTTAATAGAATTTACTTCTGTATATGAAACATTTCAGATTGCAGCATGAGGATGTTGCAAAATTAATTGAATGAAAACAGCATTTTGGTATTCTGAATAATATGCAGTACAGCCCCTGAATTCACAGGACCTATCTGTGGTTTCATTTATCCACATCCAAAAAACTTTACTCTCTCTCTCGACATTTTCTAGGTCTTCTAACACAACTCTGTGGTATTCTTGGGCCACATGACCTTCATTCTAAGATAGTTTGTTATTATTTGTGGTTTATGTGAAGTTCAGGAATGTATCCCTTGTGGATACAGGGATTGTACTATACTATACTTTTCAGTTTGAACAGAAGTTACTTTGTTTCTGCAATATATGCCTCGAAGCTTAACAAAAATATTTAATGTACTATAGCTAAAACTCCAGGTTTTGTTTCTGGATCAATATGGAGAGGAGCATTCAGTTTTACAGTGTGTTTCTATTCAGTAGGTCTTACTCTCAGTTAAGAGTGCATAGGATTGTATAATTAACAGACTTTGTCCCAGTGGCTTTCAGTGACTGAGCACAAGGTTGCGTCTGCAAAGAACAGTCCGGAGGAGCTGTTTCGAGTTGTCAGAGATCTGTTAAATCTCACCATTCCAGATGGACGGGAACCCTGACACCTCGGTGGCATGCTGTGAAGCATTTGCTCGGTTCTTTGTGGACAAAGTCACTTTGATCCATTCTGACCTGAACACCATGTTAATGGCAGTTTCTGATGATGTAACACGAGCATCTGCTTGTCCGATTTTGAGGGATTCATTTCAATTAGTGAAACCCGAGGATGTGGACAAGATACTTGGAGGAATGAGGGCGACCACATGCATCCTAGACCCCTGTCCATCCTGGCTTCTAAAGGAGGCCAGAGGGGGATTGGCCAAATGGGTGAAGGTGGTGGTTAATGCCTCCCTTTGGGAAGGCAACATTCCAGTGAACTTAAAACAAGCTGTGATAAAACCACTGCTGAAAACGCCATCACTGGACCCCACTCAATTTGTCAACTATCGGCCTGTTTCCAATCTACCCTTTTTGGGCAAAGTCTTGGAACATGTGGTGGCCTCACAACTCCATGTATTCTTGGAAGACACGGATTATCTGGACCTGGCACAGTCTGGTTTTAGGCTGGGACATGGTACCGAGACAGCCTTGGTCGCCTTAGTTGATGATCTATGTCGGAAGCTACACAGAGAGATTGTGTCCCTGTTGGTTCTTCTAGACCTCTCAGTGGCCTTTGATACCATCAACCACGGTGTCCTTATGGGATGCCTCGCAGGAATGGGCCTTGGAGGCACTCTTTTGTAGTGACCCCAGTTCTTCCTAGAGGATCGTTCTCAGAAGGCGTTGTTGGGGGACACCTGCTCAACTCCACAACCATTGTCTTGTGGAGTCTCGCAGGGTTCTATCCTGTCCCCCATGTTGTTTAACATTTACATGAAACTGCTGGGAGAGATCATCTGGAGTTTCGGGGTGCGGTGTCATCTGTATGCAGATGACATCCAACTCTGTCACTCCTTCCCACCTGCTACTAGGGAGGCTGTTCAGGTCCTGAACTGGTGCTTGGCTGCTATGACACTCTAGATGAGGGGGGACAAATTGAAATTGAATCCAGACAAGACAGAGGTACTCCTGGCCAGTTGCAAGGCCAAACAGGGCATAAGGTTACAGCCTGTGTTGGACGAGGTTACACTCCCCCTGAAGATGCAGGTTTGCAGCTTGGGTGTGATCCTGGACTCATAGCTGAGCCTGGAACCCCAGGTTTTGGCGGTGACCAGGGGAGTATTTGCACAGTTGAAGCTTGTGCGCCAGCTGCTCCCGTACCTTGAGAAGTCTGACTTGGCCATGGTGGTCCACGCTCTGGCTACACCCCATATAGACTACTGCAATGCGCTCTATGTGGGGTTGCCTTTAAAAACTGCTCGGAAGCTTCAAATGGTTCAGCGTGCAGCGGCCATGTTACTAACAGGAGTGGCACTCAGGGAGCATACAACTTCGCTGTTGCGTCAGCTCCACTGGCTGCCAGTTTGCTACCAGGCACAATTCAAAGTGCTAGCTGTAGCCTATAAAGTTCTAAACGGTTTCGGCCCAGCTTATCTATCCAAATGCATCTCTCCCTATGAACCCTCCAGGAACTTGAGATCATCTGAGGAGGCCCTGCTCTCGATCCCACCTGCTTCAGAAGCACGTTTGGCAGGGACGAGAGACAGGGCTTTATCTGTGGTGGCCCCTCAGCTGTGGAACTCCCTGCCTAGAGATATTAGATTGGCCCTCTCCCTCCTGACCTTTCAAAAAAAGAGTGAAACCCTGGCTCTTTGAGCAAGCATTTGGAACCACAGCATGACCAGAAAAACTCAAATCAGAAAATGAACTAGGAATGGCTAAGATGATGGAACAGTTGAGGATTTGAACAAGAAGACATGGTTTTTATAATTTTTATTATTCATTGCTTTTATGGTTTTTAAATGTATTCTGGTGTTTTTTTGCTTTTTATTGATGTATGTATTTTTATATATGGCATCTAATTGTTGCCGACTTGTACACCGCCCTGAGTTGCCTTCGGGCTGATATGGACGGGATACAAACGTTGTGAATAAATAAATAAATAAATAAATTAGCAAGCTATTTTTCTGGAGGGGAGTTTCTTATTCAATTGACTTGCAACCTTCCCCCCCCCCCCCCAAAATCTATATTCTGGCTAGACTTGTACCACTGTCTTCTCAAGATTAATGACTAATAAATTTTTTTTTAAAAGATGTTATGTTATTAAATTTAGTATTCTGGCATCTTTCATTGTGCTACAGTTTTGGCTACAGGTTTTCAAATTGTTTCTGAAAATTAAATATCAAAAAATATTAAAAAATTAAATTTAGAACAGTATCCTCATTTAAATGTATTATCCTCAGTTACATTTATTTATTTATCTATTTGAAACATTTTTATCCCATCCTTCTCAACCCCTGAAGGGGACTCAGGGAGGCTTACAATTGGCAATCATTAGATGCTGACAAAACAAATTACATGCTTGGCAATTAAAATAAATGGGTCAACCACAGTAAAAATACATTAAAATACATTAATATAATGGCCCTTAAAATGTTAACACAACCAAATCTGAGTATGCAAATCCAAATCATAGTCCAGAGTTCCAGTCCAAGGTCTCGTCATTGACAGTTTAGAGCATCCTTCTCAGTTATAGGCTTTTGCTTTGCAGTACATGTGCTTTTTTCATTATTCTTTTTTAAATAAACATTTCTATGTGTTCCAGGTTTCCACCTCTACCACAAGCTGCCTCACTTCATGCCAGAAAGCTGCCTTCTCATTGCTATGGGTGTCTTGGTGGGTGCAATTATTTTTGGCACTGACCATAAATCACCACCAGTCATGACTACGAGCATTTATTTCTTGTATCTTTTGCCTCCCATTATCCTGGAGCAAGGGTATTTTATGCCAACCCGGCCCTTTTTTGAAAATTTTGGATCAATTATGTGGTGGTCTGCAATGGGATCTCTCATAAATGCCTTTGGCATTGGCTTCTCACTCTATGGGATTTGCCGGATCACAGCCTTTGACCTCCAGGATGTGAACCTACTTGACAGCCTGATGTTTGGGAGCATGATCTCAGCTGTGGATCCTACAGCAGTCCTAGCTGTATTTGAAGAAATGTCTGTTAATGAGTCTCTTTATATGATGATATTTGGAGAATCTTTGCTAAATGATGGGATAACAGTGGTAAGTACATTGCAACTTATGTAGAAACCCGGCATTTAAAATGTTAGGTGCTCGATTTCCTGTCATTCTCCTGTTATTTAAAATGATGAGTAATTTACAATAGGGATTAAGGTGGATTTTTATCACTTATACAACATGACATTTTGCATATGGTCTGCCTGCCTTGGTGAAAGCATGGCATACTCTCCAACATCTCATGGATGGAAATTGGGACACATGTGGCTGAGTAACATCAGCATGGTCAAAGGAGTTTGGCTAGGCAACAAAAGGGCAAAAGTAATTAATGAGGAAGAATACACAAAACAATTTCTTTAAACAAAGAAACCATACAATTTTTGTACTGAGCCTAGTAAAGGTAAAGGTTTTCCCCTGACATTAATTCCAGTCATGTCCGACTCTGGAGGTTGGTGCCCATCTCAACTTCTAAGCCGAAGAGCTGGCATTGTCCATAGACACCTCCAAGGTCATGGCTAACATGACTGCATGGAACACCGTTACCTTCCCTTTTATAATGTACATTATATATCAAATCCAATCCAGCTTGTCCATAGCATAATAATCACATGGCCTTGTGAGCCTAATGTAGCGTCTCAACTTACTTTCAGGGTTGTTCTTACCACAAAAATGGGACAAAGGACAAGCCATGTACAATTGTTTTCGCTCGAGGATATAAATGGAATGTAGTTTGTTAAGGAAGATATAGCTGGGAAAAACCCCCATAACTGTAATAAGAAATGCATGCATTCCAATCATTTTTAGTACATGTCAGCTGAGATTCAATTCTGTACACACTTCTCCAAATCACTGGGACTTCTGCATGAATATGTATATGATTAATGTTGATTAAAGTTGATGTTGATGTAAATGGAACATTGCTCAGTGGAAAAAAGACCACATAACTCTACTGCTCTAAGAGTACTTTAGTTAGTGATGTGTCTTCCAGTGTTTGATGTCTACAGTTACAGTTTCTTACCTTTGGGACTATGTAGCCCTGGCAGAAGATTAGTTAAATCAAAAGAAAATGGGTGGAGAGAAGAAAGCCAGTAAAACTAGGGCTTTAAAAATGAAGTTTATGCAAATGTACAGAATAAACAAAAATCATAACGAAAGGGGGAAGAGGAAGGAATTAAATCAGAAATGCTTCTTTGCAATATTGATTCTGTTTTGGATAAATTAGAGTATGAGATGATCTGTGAGAGAGACAGAGATAGCACCTGGTGCACACTTCAAGGAGTGTTAACTCTAACAGGATTTCCACAGGGGAAGACTTTATTAAATGATAGGATTCTCCCCTGCTTTGTACAAAGTGTGTTTCCTTTTGTATAACTCAAGAAAAAGTTTGTAGTCACACAGTACGTGATGCTATACTGTGGAAAAGCTGCAACAGTTTGCTTGCTGTGAAGGACAAGACTCCACTCCTTCCTTTTCTCTTACTTCTGCTCACCTGAGTTAAGAGTATATTTGCACTTTGAAATACATTTTCAGCCATTGTAGTAAACTAAGGTTAAAGAGTAATGTTTGGACAGAAACCAGTATATTTTGAAAACAGCAGAGAAATTGGAATGGTAGAGGTTTAAGAAAGTCATTTCAGCTAAATTGAAACATTTGGAGGGGGTGGTATTGGGAATCCTGAATGCAATTTGACACCACTTTAACTGCCATGGTTAAATGCTATGGAATCCTAGGAGTTGTAATTTGATGAGGTCCCAGCACTCTTTTGCAGAGAAGGATAAAATTGGTTGGTGGGGATGAGAGACAGGGCCTTCTTGGCAGTGGCCCCCTGTCTGTGGCACTCTTTCCCTAAGGACATCAGGTTGGTCACCTCCCTCCTGTCCCTTAGGAGACAATTGAAGACTTGGCTTTGGGACCAGGCATTTGATTAGTGGACAGCGGCAATTGGAAAGAAAACTTAGGATATCTGCAACATTAGATTTACCCTGACTTGGATTTGGTTTTAATTGGCATGTTTAATTTATTGTTTAATGAATTGTATAATGTGTTTTTAATTATTTTTAATGTTTTAAATGTAATTTTTGATTGTTTATATTCTGATAGCATCATATGATGCTTGTGTGAGGCCATCCTGAATCCCCCTTTGGGGGGAGAAGGGTGGGGTAAAAATGCATTAAATAAATAAATAAAGATTTTCTCTGCCAACTCCCAGAATTCCATAGCACTGAGAAACGGCAGTTAAAGTGATGTCAAACTGCATTCATTCAACAGAGTACATGCACCATGTGTTCACAGCAGACTTTGGAATCTGTTTTCAAGAGCTGGCCTGGACAAAAGGAAAAGGGGTGGAACAATAAATAAATGAATACCAGTATATTTTAGCTCAAAAAAGTGCATCCCACCAGTAATCTCTTGCTTAATGAGAAATATTTCAAACTTTTAGAATGGGACAAAATAAACAACAGCTAACAAACCACACAGTGATGATATGGCCATCTACAGGAACTCCAGGGTTGGCATGTAATTCAGAGGGGGTGGGCATCTTTAAATCTAAGGCCTGAAATCCCCTGTCCCAATCTTTGTCAAAGTGGCACTTTGGAGTAACAAAGAGATGAGATATGTATTTATTTCCCTGTTCAGGTCTTATACAATATCCTCATTGACTTTACCAAGATGCATAAATATGAAGAGATTGAACCAGTTGACATCCTGGCAGGATTTACTCGCTTTTTTGTCGTGAGTCTTGGCGGGGTGCTGTTTGGCATTGTGTTTGGTTTTGTGGCAGCATTTATGACTCGATTCACAAAGAACTTCTCAGCCATTGAGCCTCTCCTGGTCTTCATGTTCAGCTATTTGTCATACTTAGCTGCGGAAACACTTTACATTTCTGGCATCTTGGCGTGAGTATAACAGCAACCAGTTTTCACCACTGAACAGACTTCTCATTTCTCCCCTACATGCTTAAGTTCTTGCCTGTGTCAGAGCACATTTAAGAACACCTGATGGATTGGTAGTCAAGGTCAGGCTGTTAAAATTTAATATAGCTAATACAGAGTTAGGCATATCAATGGTCTGACTTGATTAAGAAACCATTTAGAGTAGGCTTACACCATTTAGCCCCCTCCAGAAAATTTCAATAACAGATCACATTGGTCCAAGTCATCAGATACAATTGGACCTATAGCCAAAAACATCTGGAAAAGGTTGATGTAGTCCAGAGCTTGGAAGGGTTACTTGGACTATAACTGATCAGTCCGCATGGGTCATGACTGTCTTGGCTGGTGGATTCTAGGAGTTGTAATTTAAAAATGGAATTTTCCTAGACTGATTCAGCACTCCTTCTCTACTGACAAGTTTCAACCTCAGGTTGGATTGCAGTGTACCAAAAAAAAACAAACAAAAAAACAAAAAAACAAAATGGAAACATCCACTATCTTATTAGATACATAATTAGAAACGAGATACTTAGGGAAAAGACTTCTTCTACATTTCTTCCAATGGCTCATTCATGCTTTCCTTTGTGTTTCTGAATGAACAGGATCACAGCATGTGCAGTAACTATGAAAAAATACGTGGAGGCAAACGTTTCCCAAAATTCCTATACAACAATCAAGTATTTCATGAAAATGCTGAGCAGTATAAGTGAAACCCTGATATTTGTATTCATGGGAGTGTCCACTGTTGGTTGGAATCATGAATGGAACTGGGCTTTCGTGTGCTTTACATTGTTCTTCTGCATCCTTTGGAGGGCACTAAGTAAGTAAGAGATATGTCAATAAAGTCAAAGCAGGTGGAAGGTAGTGTTTTACAGGATTGAAAGCAGGGATGGGCAGAAGGAAAACTGGCATCTGCCCATAGATCTCTTGGAGATGTACAAGTGACTGCAGAGCATTTTCTTACTCCCAGTGAAAATAGCAAAAAGCCAAACTTCATCCACCCACCCATAAATAGCAACCTTGAAATGAAATCTTGAACAAGGGTAAAAAGCAAAAAATAAATAAATGTGCGTGTGTAACAGTATATTGGGTCCAGTGTGTACTTAGAGCTTCTAATCCTTATTTGGGAGACTTTAATCAGGACTGAAGAAAATTCTCCTTCCACACATACAGGCCACACTGCTATACCAAACATGATGCCACATCACTCCCACTTGTAAAAACTTTATGTGGGATTGGAAAGCAAAACTGCTACATTTCCAAACGGTTTTTATGTGTGTGTATGCACATGTAGAGAGACATCAAAATGAGCCTTGAAATTAAAAGAAGAAGAAGGTTTATTGGGATTTGGTGCATGAAAGAGAAAAGCGCAAGACCTTCATGCAACTCACAAGTCACACGTTCTCCACCCCTAACCTAAATCAAGTTGCTAGTCCCAACCACAGTATATCCAATTGAATTAAAATAAATTCCATACATGTTGAATTAACAAGTTTTTGGTGATTCAGGAGTCTATTGTAGTTGGAATTTTTAAAGAAAAAACCCTTTTCTCCCAATTCTATGCTACCATTTTTCATGTGGCTCTCGATTACTCTTAGAAGTTTAATTAATGTGCAGTATATCTAATAAAATTGAAGTCTGCCCATCTTAAGACAAAGATTGAGGAATTGGCTTTTGAGTGATATAGCTCTCAGAATTCCCTGGCCAGCATTGTAATTATACTACCATAAGCTAATTTTTCCAAGCTTTGAAATGTGACGCACCATTAAGCACCAGGAGAGAGGGAGTGAAGCTAGAAATCTCAGTGTTGACTGGCTCTACCGGTCTGGTGAGAACCTTGATAGGTGTGTTCCATTGTTCAGGTTATTTCACAAATAACTGTATAATACAAAGACAATGGATAAGAAATACTCTGAATTGATTGCTTCAGGAAGCTTTGAGAGGAGTGAAATCTGTTTTCCTAATAACATTTAGAGATACCACTTGAATATGAGTCACCTGGTATCACAAAATAATATATGTCAAAGACATATATAGAGGCAGATAGGAAGGGAGAAGCTACCTGCAAGGTAATAAGGGAAAATGGGTGGGCCTGCATATAACAGTTAGGAAGGGTTAAGGTTGCCTAATGTGGGAATATCCCACATATTTGGCATGATCTGCTTTTCGTGATAAGAAAAAGTGGTAGAGTGGGCTGCGTGGATTTGGTTTGGCAAGACTGACACATCTGAGAGAAAGGTCAAAAAACCTATCGGAGACAGATTCATGCCATGGTGGGTATAGGGCACATTATGTTTTTGTTGTTTTTAAATCATTAAACCTTAGAAGTGATTAACCGATCATACTGTAATCATGAATGAAAACAAACATACAAAAAAACCAAGATATCTAACAACATCTGTATTGTCCTTTGTTTCTGTAATAATTTGAATCTTGTAAACCCAACCTAGCAGTTTGAAAACATGCAAATGTGAGTAGATCAATAGGTACCCCTCTGGCGGGAAGGTAACGGTGCTCCATGCAGTCACCTTGGAGGTGTCTATGGTCAACGCTGGCTCTTCGGCTTAGAAATGGATATGAGCACCAACCTCCAGAGACGGACATGACTGGACTTAATGTCAGGGGAAAACCTTTACATTTATTAAACAAAACACTATAATTACCCACCCCTGAGAGATAAGCAGAAAGTAACAAATACTATTACAAAAATCCAAGAGAACTAGATTTTCAGGAAAGAACCATCTGTTAGGGTAACATTTGTTGGATCTTTAGTATAATCTCTTATTTTATTAGTTATCCTATATACTTCTTAAAAGCCTAGAAATTTTAGTCAAAAATCAGTTGAAAAAAACTGGGTTGACTTATCCACAGGTCAGTGTGAGTGCTGTACCCAAACTCCTACCAAAAAAGGAACTATCCCTCTGAGAAGAGTAGGGAAAGGCAATAGCTTAGTAAGTCCTGGGAGAACCTAGAAGATGCACTGATCCCTTCTACTCTCTCCATTGTGGTGCCATTTCTGGCCTTTGGCAATGTCTGGACAAGAAAATGATGGTGGCTGCCCCCCGATATGGCATTGACAATTTCCCCTCTCTTCAGAGTGTCCCTGGACTTCTCAATGAGTAATATCATATACATAGTAATCATTAGAAAATGTCTAATTTAATTGATAACATAATTGATGTTAAATAGTTAGTTGATATGACTGCCACTGCTCAGTTATAGATATAAGTATGTCATTATATTCCATTTTCATAAAGGTAAATTTCTAAATTCTAGTTTAGACAATTGCAAGGCAAGCTTTCCAACATCATACATTTCAGTAGTCTTTGCCACTCTCTAACATAGATGCCGCATTCCTATATAGTACCTTTTGTGTCTTGTTTTTGTGGAAATATCAATTCATTTATTTTTATTTTGTTCTTTTTTTTTCCAGGTGTGTTTTTTCTGTTCAGCATCAGCAACATTTTCCGGACCTATAGATTCACTTTTAAAGATCAACTTATTATCATCTACAGCGGTCTACGAGGAGCCAGCAATTTCTCCCTTGTGTTTTTGCTTCCTGCAGGTCTCTTTCTTAGAAAGAAAATGTTTATTACTTCTACTATTGTGGTGATATATTTTACTGTCTTCATCCAGGTAAGAATACTTATAATTCATAAGGCAGCATTGCCATGCATAATTTGTGGTTGATATTAGGTTGTAACTCTCATTAACAGTAAAAGATTATAGAAGTTTCAGTCTAATAACATACATAGGAATGGGTTTCTCTTTCTTGATCTAATGGGTCTGATATGCTTTGTAAGCAGGTTTTGATTGGTTAGTAGATCATAGGCTTCCTCTCCTTATTGTGTCATGTTATTGTGGCATTGAATGGTTGCCATTTTGTATGTATATAAACTGCCCTGAATCCCTCCAGGAAGAGAGGGCAGTCTGGAAATAAAGTTGATGATGATGATGATGATGATGATTATTATTATTAGTAGTAGTATTACTCTCCCCCAATCTATCACACAAAATGAGATATTTCCTCCTATGCTACTTACTTTGTCCCTCTCTACAGGGATGATGTATCTGGATGATACTTTTCATTCAGACATTTCCACATGGTCAATAGTCAGGGTTATCTTTCTGGACAATCATGTGAAGCAATTACATTTTATGCATGTTGTTTATGTTTGCATATCATCCTTCTAGGGACAGTAGAATCAAGGCAAGCAGATTTAGTGCTTGTGGTGAACAACTCTATATTCACCCATTTCTAAGCAAAGGGCCACATTAGGCAGGATGTACCCACTGATTTGACCATGTCATGTCATTAGGATTCAGCATGTTCTGTTACACAACTGAACGACATAATTTTCTTCTCTCTTTGTTCAAAATGAAGGGAATTACCATTAGACCACTTGTAAAGTTCCTTGATGTTAAGAAGACCAATAAAAAAGAGTCTATCAATGAGGAAATTCATGAACGTGTAAGATTAATTTTTAAAATGTATACTTTTAATTGAAAGTGGGGTCTTATGGAGCAAGTTAATATTTTGTCAGATCCTTTGCTACTTATAGTCTAGAACAGAGCTGAATTCAGACTTAGGATTCATCTATCATGTAGAATTAAGCAGTTGTAGTCAATGAGACCGAATTAGCCAAAGCCTACTTAAGACCGTTACTTCCAATATGTCTGTTTTCAATATAGTTTGGATTCAACTCAAGCTGTCAATCTTCAATCTGCTGCATGCAAAGACATTTTCTTGTCTCTTAGCTATGGCCCTTATTTGTTGAAATGTGTTGGGCCTAAATAAATAGATGCTTCTTTAGAATTTTTCTTTGTTTCTTGACTTCCAGTGGAATCAAAATGCTGGACCAGAAGTCAATGCATTTTAAAATAAACTTTAATGTCCAGATGGATGTTCAGTCCAACTTTGGTGACACCCAGAGGTGGAGGGACCTATATAATTTACCCATCAAACTAAGAATAATATTAAGACTAGAAATTACACTGACTAATGCTAGGATCTAATGAAGTGGATTGTGTCTTCAAAAGAAGTTAATGCAGAGAGAATCCTGCAACATGATTCTTAGCAGTATTCCTATTTTACTACTGAAAATAGTTTTGTAGTTCTGTTGGGATACAAAATGTCTATATAGTAGCCTTGTAAAAACTACAGTACTCTAAGTTCACTTCTGTTTCCAATTGTGTGTGTTTGCAGTTGATGGATCATTTAAAAGCAGGCATTGAAGATATTTGTGGACACTGGAGTCATTATCAGCTGAGAGACAAGTAAGAATGTGTCTGTCAGGTAAAATAACTAAAACTGTTCCAGTAGTGTAGGAAAACAGTCCTAGTAAAAACATATAGTTACCTTCTTGTCCTGCTCTTCCTCCTGAATCTAGTAAGGGTCAGCTGAGTTATGTTGAATTCATTACTTATTGTGCTGTACATCTTCACTGTACACATTTTCTGCTTGAGAGCACCCTTAGTAGTACAGCATTATGATCCCACATTAACTGCCACGACTGTATCCTATAGTATCTTGGTGTTTGTAATTTGTTGTTCTATATACCTCTCCCCAAACCCAGATCCTAAGTTTCCATAGAATGTTGCCATAACAGGTAAAGTGGAACCATGGTCTTATAACTGTGTAGTATGAAAAGACTGCAGTGAACAAGATGTGAGCTGACTTTGAATGCTTATATAGCTTGGGTCCAGGCAGGGGCAGCTCAATCCATTACACAAAGTAAGATTTCGCAGTATAGTTGATTTTGCCCAGGGGCGCTCTTGAGGCACCCTTGGGGGAAAATAGACCTTGACATATGTGAGTTGTAGTTACTGGGATGTATAGTTCACCTACAATCAAAGAGCATTCTGAACTCCACCAATGATGGAATTGAACCAAATATGGCACACAGAACTCCCATGACGAACAGAAAATATATATCAGTGATTGGTTGGGGGGGGGGGGGGGCAAAATGCTTACTGTTGAAAATTACCTAGGGCCGCCTCTGGGACCAGGCAGATCCTATCTACCTGGATGTGCCCAGGAGAGTTCCAAGGTTGTCTGGAGAAGCCCTTCTCTTTGTCTCACTATCTTCTCAGGCTTGTTTGATGGGAACAAGAGAGAGAGAGCCTTCTCATTGACTACTCCCAGACTTTGGAGCTCCCTCCTCAAAAAGGATAGCTCTCTGGTGGGGGGGGGGGGGGCTCCACAAAGATTTTTTTCTGCAGCTCTAGCAGCCAAGGGAAACCCTGTCGTTGCAAAGCCATCTGCACACCCACTGTTGACAGCTATGAGGCCTCTCTTGGCTACCAAGTATGTATGTGGGTAGGCCCATAGCCAGGATTTTGATTGGGGGGGGGGGGGGGGGGGTCTAAACCTTTCATATCGTTACCCCAATACCTTCATGCATATGGGATATATTGAGCATGGTGATCAGATCATGATATGAATAAACATAACAGTTTAAATAATGTACCAGTAAGGCCTTCTCGCGGAACACCCTGAGAATTTCGGGTGGGGGGGCTGAAGCCCCTCAAGCCCCCCTTCTGGCTACGGGCCTGAATGTGGGTGATTGAAGGCTCACACAGCCATGGGCTTTTTCCCTTCATAGAGGTGATCAGCTGGGTGTGCCCCCTTGCATAGCAGTCACACCCACAAGCTAAGAGTAGGACTCTTTTGGGAGGAATGTTAAAAAACCAAAACTGAGACCCAAAAAAGGGGGTACAACTATTATGCGATGGAGACCATTATGTGATGAAATACAGGCATGTTGATATCCACCTTTCTCCCAATTATTGGGAGAAAGGCAGGATGACACATCATTACCATCACAATGATGGTGATGGTGGTGATAATTTGGCTGCATGTAGCCACATGGGATGCCATAGGTTGCTCCAATTCCCAGTCCACAACCCCCTTGGTTATATATTTTACACACATACAGAGTGCCCTTTAGATGTCATTTATGCAATTTTTCCAGTCATGTGTGGCTCACCGGTTTTAGACTGTGGACAGGCTTTTACTGAAACAGAATTGACCATGAGTAAAACATTAAGAGTTATTTTATTTAACAAGTAAGTGGTCTACTGATGAAAATCACCCTGAGGTGGAAACAGAATGCCAAAGGGGAAGCAATTACCTAGGGAACAATCCATTTCATTCAGTAATTAATAGAGAAGAGCTTTGGTCTTCCATTAACAATCAAGCATTTGTTAAACAAGGAAATAGAAAAGAAGCTTTCTAGACTCCCTCAAATGTCTCCAGCCATTTCCTTGCAAGCCTCCTCCATGTCTCCATGATTTGGGAGCTCTCAATTTCTGATCAGCCACAAAGAGTTTCCAACTGGCATCTAGCTTGCCTTACGTGCCTCTACCACTGAGTTTGTGAGTGAGTATAATTGAATAAATTAAAATAAATAAATAATCAATTTAGAGAATGCTACATCATTTAAGAATTAATATACAGAAATAAAAATATTTTTAAAAAATAATATTCAATAGAATAAAAATAAAAATCATGATTTAAAATTGAGTGCGTGCACAGGGGCAAGTTCCATCCTACATGATAAAATCAGAGATTAAACAGGCACTATCAAATGGAAAGAAATAGGTCAAAACTTTATTTGGTTACAACTGTAAATAGAGTTGGTGCTTGCATGGATCTGAATCCAGGCATCAACCAACAAGAATGTTGATCAATGAATCTGCCAATCCAACCCCTCTGCTCAATCACATGGGAAAGCCAGTAAAGTTCCAGCTGGGCAGAAACTCAGCATGGTCACACAGTCATCAGTGGTTGTGGGCAAAATGTCTGCCCTTGGCCTAGCACAACTGTTCCCCTGCCACAAATTTCAAGCCCCCCATCTGATTCCAGTGGAATATATTCACTGGTGGGATGAGGTCTGGAGAGATGTTTGTCTGGTCAGTTTAGCATTTATTCCCCAGCTGACCAGAGTGAAAGCTGAGCAACTGGATCACTCTGGCCTAGCTGGGGAGGAGGTGCCAGCCAATGAAGTTTGGCAGGATTATTCTTATTGAGCAACAGCTCAGCTGAACCCAAGCAAGGTTCCTGGACAGGAGACTGCTGGGACAAGCTGCATAGGGAGGCACCCAACATGGCTTCTGTCCTGTCCCGCACTGCAACCTTAGCTGCCTGGTGAGTTGAGCATCTAATTTACTTTTAGAAATGATTATATTTAAATGAGGAACAGTGGAACCTGAGGAACAGCTTCTGTCTTCGGATTATTAATAATCCATAGGATCATTCCATGGCTTTCTGGCCCAGAAAGACTTGTATTGGACACAAAGCTGTATTTTGTACAAAGTCACAGTTGATTCTTGCCATAATGTGTTACTTCTAAAAATTCTCTTTGCACCCAGGTTTAAGAAGTTTGACAACAGATTCCTAAAGAAGGTTCTGTTACACAAGCAGCAACCCAAATCCAGTCTTGTTTCACTGTACAAAAAACTTGAAATAAAACAAGTCATTGAGATGGTAGAAAGTGGGGCAATGACACCAGCGACATCCACACAATCTTCTCTGTGAGTACTGTTAAGCCTTCTTAAAGAGGGGAATGGAGGTTATTTGAAATGCATAGTGGTTGAGGGGAAGATAGTGTCCCTTTTGCACATTATACAAATGTGTGGAGGGAAAAGAAGGGAGACTCATACACTCATTTTAAGGATGGGCTGGAGATGTTGAATAATAATAATAATAATAATAATAATAATAATAATAAAAAAAATTATTTTTTAACCCGAGCTCTCTCCCCAACTATGTGTACACAACTTTGAGTGATATCTTTTTGTGCAAGTTATGTCTTTCTTTCTTTCTTTCTTTCTTTCTTTCTTTCTTTCTTTCTTTCTTTCTTTCTTTCTTTCTTTCTTTCTTTCTTTCTTTTTTGGACACTGGAGTGGTTGGAGTGCCTTCTCAATCACATAACAATAAAAGTCCTCTTGCAACCCACCTTTTAAATACCACACCTCATTCTATAAGACTGATATGTACTGACCCATGGAAGGAGTGATAGTTGTGAAGCATCTGGCTATGTTTTTACAGTTGGATGCACAACAACTGGAATCTTCTGGACGACTCAGATGATGAAGGTCATTTGTGTACATCTAGCTGTGGGAACATAATGGGAATCTTTTCTGCCTCCTTATGCCATGCTCCACCATTCAGTAAATGGCCATGTTGAAGGAACTGTGACAGCTAAAAGCTGAGTTTGGGGAGGCAAGGGAGACAACTGTGCAGAACTTTACAATATGTTTCCTGATGTAGGAGCCTAGCCATTATATATGTGGAACTTCTCCACATCATGAACGGATAATGTAAGACTTTCAGGATGCCACTGGACAGGATCTATCCTAACTAATGGGAAGGGGAGATGAGAGTGAAAAGTCTGTGCTCTTGTGATCAGTAGAGAGAGCACTGGATGCAACCTTAATTATTATTATTATTATTATTATTATTATTATTATTATTATTAAAATGAACATAAGTCAACTAAGTTGGGGTTTCTTGTCATGATTCTGCTATTCTTACCTACCATCATGTTCATTTAGTGGTCTGGAAAAGATTATAAGAGACTGCTTGCCATTGCTGGCTTGGAATAGATTATTATAGGCATATCTAAATAATAAAAATGCATCAAATCACTTAGGCACAGAACTTCAAAAATCGCATTTCGTAGCAAAAGAATGTGTATCTTCAGCACTTTAAAAATATTCCTATAAAATTTATTCGAATAGATTTTGTACATTTTGGAAATAAACTCCCCAAATGTTAAGTCCCTGCTGAGAATCCTTAGGTTTGCTTTTTGAGGAATAAACTTTTCTTGATGGAGACTCATTTTCTGGCAAGTCCACCTGCAAGTATATGGGACACTTGTTATGTGTTTGGAATCCAGTTGGCTTTGAACTATTACTGTAGTAGGAAATGATTATTCAAATATGAAATACTCATACACTTTTTCATATAGGTTATCTGTTTTTCTGTTTGGAAAACACAGAATCATATCTTTGCCACATCTTATGTAAATAAAAGTAAAAATGTTCACACCTAGGACTGTGGCGGAGTCTCCATAGGGAAGGGTTAACACCCCTGAGGTATTTGTTTTGCTGTCTGTGCCCCTGTTCAGAAGATTTCATCTCACGTTCTGTCTCTGTGAGAACTGGATTTTTTTAAATTGCGTATTTTGAAAACAAAGATAGCTGATAAATATTTAATTGAGACACCTTTCCCTCATAATAACTCTTTCAAGAGTGAATTTCTCTCACTTCCTGTTGCCTCACCCCCATTCTTAACTAGGAGTCATTTATAAATTGGGTGCTTGTAACTCAGGGACTGTCTGTATACTTGAGAACAGGAATTTGAAGTAGCATGGATTACATTAGTCGATTGTACACACATTCCAATATAGGGACTATTCCTTTATGTTGAACAACACTAGCTCTCTACAGTTTCAGATAGGGCCTTTCTCAGTCATGATGTCAGGAATTGAATTTGGGACTTTCTGCATTCAAACTGTGGTCTACCAACTAAACCACAAACTCTCAGTAACCTGGAGAAACTCTACCCAAACTATGTGTTTTTCATAGGGAAAATAAGAGAATGCCTATGTGTCCTCATGCATGGGGCTTTAAAGTTCTGGCCCTACTTACCTCTCCGAACGCATCTCCTCCTATGAACCGACTAGGACACTAAGATCATCTGGGGAGGCCCTGCTCTCGGTCCTGCCTGCATCACAGGCATGCTTGGCGGGGACAAGAGACAGGGCCTTCTCAGTGGTGGCGCCTCAGCTGTCGAACGCCCTGCCTGCAGATATCAGATTGGCCCCCTCCCTGCTGGCGTTTTGGAGGAAAGTGAAGACCTTGCTGTTCCAACAAGCATTTGATTAAACAGTGTAATTGAACATAGGAATACGGAATAATGGATGACGAGACTGGATTCTGATTTTACTGTTGAGGCGCTAATGATTGTTATACTGATGTTAATGAGTTATGTGATAATTGTTTTTAATTGCCCTATGCTTGTTTTGTGATATTTTGTACTGATGTTGTTCACCGCTTTGAGTCGCCGGAGGGCTGAGAAAAGCGGTATAGAAATAAAGTAAATAATTAAATAAATAAATAAATAAATAAATAAAGTGTACTGAGGTGATGATGTGGGAGTTCCACTTAAATTCTACAGAATGCCACCATAATAGAGCTCTTAAGTTTTAAAACTGGTATCTTTGTACTGTGGGCATATGAGAGTAAGATTGGGCCAGATCACTAAAAATGTTACCCATCAATATGGAAAGGAAGCCTTTGCTTCACTGCTTCCCCCGCTCCCCATGAAACTTAGCTAGTTTAGCAACCATAGGGAAATATGCACTGTGGTAGGTTAGGCAACATTCCTCTTAGGACCTACACACCCTGAGGGGAGATCACTATACTAGAGGAAATCTGAATCTCAGTTTCACTGGAAAGTGGACAGGTTATTTCACAAAATCTTGCTGCCGGCATGCCATTTGTAAGATGTATAGTTTTGCTTATTTTACTAGACTGGATCACTAGCAAGTTACTGGCAACTCTGAATAGCCAGTCTTAATTAGGAATGGGAGTCATATTCAAAACATATTCAATAATATTTGAAAAACATGGGATTTTTTAAGTGTTGAGAAACCCTGACAAAGAAAATAATAAACTGATTAGAATCCATTCAATTTAGAACTCATTCTCAAAAATCCTTAATGGTTGTACTTAATTATCTCTCCCTTCGCACACTTCTATGCTTCCTTGTGCATGTCAGAATTGGTCAGAATTCACTAAAGGGAGTTACAAATGCATAACCTAGTCTGGTGACTGGTTCATATTCATAATCCCTATGTTTCCACTACTTGAACAGATATGTAGGAACTGTGAAAATCCTCAAGTCCTGATTTACCTGGCAACAGCTGCCACCAATCATGAGGTTCTAGTTCCCTATTGACTGGAAAGCAACTGGCAGTGTTTTCACCCTCCTCCTGCAAGGGGGAATTGCAACAGGGTCCATGTTTATGGCAATCTGATTAACAGGAGAATATATTCTATCTCTCACAGGAGCCTTTGCCCAATAAATGAGGAAAGTGGAAGGAATGGGAGATACTTTATAGCTATGTAACAAAGGCAAAATCATCCCATGCCCTTAAGGAACTAATACCTATAATAAGTTGGAATGCAATCATATTAAGAGCAGAATGTTAAGGGAAAGTTACAATCTTCTTTTAAGGAGAACAGAGGATGTTATCACTAAAGCAATTTTCTTTATGTAAATACAACACCTGAACTAAGCCTAATGTTTGTCCAGAGAGCGCAGAGATCAGGGGAAGGCCTTCAGCAAAAGAAGAAAAACACATTTCATTAGGTTGTTAACATGCCTGTTTTTTTTATTTAGAAAGAGTTTTGTATCATAAGTATTGCAGAACTGTAGAAGGTGTAGATTTATTAAACAGAAACTACATTACTTCCTCTATGAAGAGTTACATGCTTATTGTTATCAAATTGTCTGGTTAATAGCTAACTTGATGAAAAGAGTCATCCATTTCTATATTTGTGTTTTAGCTGGACGACAAAGTGACTTCACAATATTTGAAGAGTTGCTCATTGTTCACCTGAAACTAAGGACATTTGAATAGAATTGTTTAGAGAATCACATGAGCTGGCCATTGACACATTATGGTTTCTTTCCTTTGTTAGCAGTCCTGACTAAGCCCACCGCATATTTGAAGGGTTAAATATGTCAATTTGCCAATTCAGATATGCTCCCTAACAATTCTTATGATAATAATTGCTAGCCAAATACTTTCTTGGATTACTCTTATATATTTACAATGCACTGTGTGTATGTGGAGGGCCAAAGTGGTGTGGAGATTTGTCCATTGGACTGTGACTCTGAAGACCAGGATTCAAATCCCTAATCAACCGTGGAAACTTTCTGAGCTTTGGCAAGTCACACTCTCAGCATCAGATCAAAGAAAAGACACTTCAAAACTATGTTAGGTTTACTTTAGGGTCATCATAACTCAGAAATACATTGGAGATACACAGTGGGTCTATCTTTAGATGGCTCTTAACAAGCCCCCTTGTTTTTACATTTTATACAACTGGATCTACATATCATGTATATCCTTTTGAGATTTTTTTCCCAATTTGCAAAAAAAAAAAAAAGTTTGTGTCTTGGTCTAATATATGCCCAATCTTTCTTCCAAGAGTGGGACTCAGGGAATCTTATAATTAGAACAGAAAAACTGAAATTAAAGTTAAAAAAAAGAAGGGGGGGGGGGATAAAGACATTGAAACACAACTAAAGACAACACACCAATAAGAGAAGACAGAAATGGTGGTGTTCTGCATTTCATATTGTAGAAAGAAGGTACAGGCATAGGTGAGACTGCGAAAACAAAATAAAGATATATTAAATATGACCGGTGCAAATTTGCTAACTAAGAAAACAATTATTAAGTGTCGTTATTACTTGCATTTTGGCAGTTGCTTTTCAACAAACAAACATTTTCTATGTGAACAGAATATGTGGTGTTTAAATGGATGTCAATAATTACTTTTTATAGTTGTGTATACAGATTTTTTCTGGATTTGGCCAATTGCTGTGACCAAAAGTAATTAAAAAATGGGTCATTGATCCATTTATATTCAGACTTTACTATCCTTTGTTTGCAAGGCATTCTGTATATATCTGATGCATGCAAATAATAGTGCTTACCTAGAAACACTCCCTTCCCTTTGACTTAATAATAACCAATGTCATGTTTTCCTTCCTTTCTGTTTGCAGGAGGTACAGACATCAAAGAACCCGAAGACTTGCCCCTGAAGAGGTGGAGTCCATCCAAAACATACTGGCACACAATCTGTATCAAGTGAGACAAAGGGTGTGTGTTTTTTCATTCTTGTACTCCGTTTCATTTCATTGTTCTAGAATAAAAGGCCATGTTTGCACTCCTAAAAACCCTAGCAACGGTCAGTGATAACTGAAATGTCAGCATCATTGATTGCAGGTTAATGCAGCTGAGTATCACAGTAACCTTTTGGGGAAATGTGGATCCTAATCCTTAATGAATATGTACTCAGTTTCTCTCTGTGATGTGCATGCATGGAAGTGTGTGTGTCAGAGGGTAATGCTGTGCTCATTCTATATCAAGCAAACAGAAAGGTCTACCAGTTTTTGTCTTCCAAAATACAGTTGGCCTTTGGTATCTGCAGATGTTTTATTCTTGAACACGCCCTACCCCCTTGTAGATATCACATTCTGTAGATGCAAAAATTCCATTAAAAGCAATGGTGTAGTAAAATAGTGTATCTTGCATAAAATGACAAAATTGAGCTTTGCTTTTTGGCATTAAATTGGTTTTCAAGCCACAGAATGTTGGATCCATGGGTGTGGAATCTGTGGATGTGACGGACTGCTGATGGTATTTGCTTTAATTGGCGATCTATGATAAGAGATTTAAAGATGGGCTTAAAGCTAACATAAAATGTGCTATAAACACTAAGAACTGGGAAGACCTGGCACTTAAGCATTCTAACTGGAGGTTAGCTGTTACCAAATTTTGAAGAGCCACAAATATAGAGAGAAAAGGAGAGATGTGCCGGGGGAAGGCACATCAAGCAAACCCTTGTCAGGCTTGCCTTCCATCTGGAAATGTATGTCTCCACAGTGAAAGACCATGCAGATCCAGAATAGGTCTCTACTTACAGACCCACCGTCAAGACTCTACCATTGGGAGACAATCATACTTGGCCAGGAGTGATAGCCTTGCCTATGATTTGATGATGATCTACGACAGAATGAGTTAGATTCCCAGAACAAGCACTAGGTGGCATAAGTCACTTGCTGCAAAATTGAATGATTAAAAGTTCCTATCTAGTTATTTGCAGAGAGCTCGCTGTTATATTAGCATGTCATAGCAAAATCAGCAAATTTATTTTATTTATTTATTTGTCCTGCTTCTCACTCATATAGTACTTAAGGCAGCTTACCCATTAAATAATTAAAATAATGTTTTTTAAACAAACAGATCTAAAATATGAAAACGGATAAAGCACTGAACAATAAGCCACTTGCAAACTTTAATTTAGAACGGTCAAAAACACATTCAAAACTAACAGATCTGTTGCACTATCCCAACCAGGTAAAAGCTGAAGTTCTGTTTTGATAAGCTGGCCCTTGCCTGCTTGCAAGAACAGAGTAGAGTGAGGGCTGAGGGCTCTTCCACACAGGGCCCATAGTGCGGGATCTCCTGTGGCTTTGCCAGGTAGTCCAGAAAACTCCGAGGGCACCTACACCCTACCCAAAACTTCCCCCAAAGTACTTTTAAAAAATACTTACTTTACCACTATTAAACTGCTGCTGGAGCTCTCCTGGCATGTAGAAATGATGTGCCAGGAAAAGGGGAGAGTGAGGAAGGAAATCACTCCTCACCACCAAACTCTCCTCCCCGTCCTCCCCCTCCTCCCCCTCCTCCCCCCCCCCCCCCCTCCCCCCTCCTCCCCCCCCACCTCCCCCCCTCCCCCCCTCCCCCACCTCCCCCTCCTCCACCACCACCCACCTCCCCCACCACCACCACCTCCCCCTCCCCCTCCACCACCACCCCCTCCTCCACCACCACCACCTTCCCCTCCTCCACCACCACCACCTCCCCCTCCTCCACCCCCCCCCCCACTCCCTCCCTCCACCCTCCTCCCTCCTCCCCCTCCTCCTCCCCCCCCTCCTCCCCCTCCTCCCCCTCCTCCACCTCCTCCACCCTCCCACCACCTCCTCCTCCTCCCCTGCTCATAATTTCTATGTGCCTGGAGAGCTCCAGCTGCAGTTGAATGGTGGCCAGGTGAGTAGTTTTATTTTTAAAAGCCATTGGGGGGGGGGGGGTTAGGTGCCTGGGTGTTCTCCAGAAAGGTACCAGGAGGACATCTAGACACTCCCCTGTGGAAAATGTGGGCTTTTCGGGCTGGTGTGCAGACTAAGGTCTGCTCCAACCCAGGTTTTTAAAACCTGGTTTGGTGTAGACTTTTCTGCTCTGTGGAACCGGCCTGAGACTGTCTTGGAAGGACATTCCATTACTCCAAATAATATTTTTGGCAAGAATGGGAAAATAATGTCTTATTCCATTAACTTTAATGGACTAGATACAGTAATGAATGAAACTTCTTCCTCCAGGACCTCTATAAGTTAGCATAAGGCTGTTGTAATGCAAACTAAATTGCTTAGCAGCTGGTTTCAACTTTCAGGGCCTTGTTTAAAGCATTTATAAATGGATATTTGAAATAATTGTAGAAGACAATAGCACATAAGGAACTGGAAAGATATCCCATCTTTTGGTCATAAAAATATTTGATGCAGTTACATAAAATCTAGTATATTAGAATCAATTAGAATCTCAACTTAAAAAGTCATCCAGCATGCTATGAGCATATTCAGTCCTGAGTGGGCTATTTCTCCCTCTACAAGTTTTGCATTTCTCAAAACTTCTGGAGTCCTCAAGCCTGCTGATACTTTGATGTGTACAATTATAGTTCAAAAATAACTTTGGTGTAGCTAAGTGAAATTCTGGTTATATACAGATCCAACCTTGTAGTGAGAATTTGCTATTACTATTACATTGCATTGGCAGTAGGTGGCCAACATCATTCTTTGTAAAGATCAGCTGATGACAATGATGCATGCAAATAATATGGGGAGTATAACTTGACAAATATAGGAAGGAATGTTTTTGTCATTTCAGACATTGTCATATAATAGGTACAACCTTGCTGCAGATGCAAGTGAGGAGCAAGCCAAAGAAATCCTCATCCGACGCCAGCAGAGCCTGAGGCAGACTGTGAAGAAAGGCAACAGCCTTCCATGGGGAGGGCAGGTTGGTACCACTTACACAAGCTGCGTTATTTGTGGAATTGAAGTATGCAAATAAGCCGAACACCTTGCGACACAAAGCATACTGTTTGTTAGCACTTTCAGCTATGGACCAGAGAGAGTTTCTGTCCTCACCAATCCTATTATTCCAGCTCTGCTCTTGCAACTGTAGTAAGATAAAGGCTCTTTGTGGTGCTCTAGGTAGGGCAGAGGAGGGCTGGGGTGGCAAACAACGTGCCTGCATTCAGTTTGATGTTTTTTCTCCTTTTGTAAAAGAGTTAGCACAAGCATACCTTTATTATTATATCATGGGGAAAACCATGAAAATGATTGTTTTTAAACAGGAATACCTAAAGTGAGTTGAATGGTTGGAAAGGTGGGATGGCCTTTTTGAAAAGCCTGGAAATTAATTTATCTCTTCAGGGCACAGAAAACAAGAATTCTAGTATACAAAGTATAATACGCTTAGAAACAAATGGGAGCAAAACAAATCATTAGTTTCCTCATGGTAATCTGGGACACTTTTAAATTACCCAGTTATAGTGCTATGATTCTGTGTTCCTGGCTGGACCATGTTTTTTGGAAACTGTGGACATGACCAAATGCCATGAAATTAGCTTACTTTTGGTCCCAGCATACTATAGAGTTGTCTTGGAGTACCTAGAGTTTTTTTGGTTGAGAACCTTTCTAGGAATTTGCTAACTGCCAAACCAACTGTGATAATGTCTAGAAGAAGCATATCATAAAATCATCTGGAGGACCTAGCCAATTCCCAGAAAGACCATTTTTTTCCCTAGGTGCAGGTAAGTGAAGCCATGGATATGGATTTCTGAATTACAGGACTCTCACAGTATTTTAAGTGGAATCCTGGGATGTACAGATTCAGGACAGGTACTCAGAATTTTCAGCCAGAGAAGCCTATTACCTCATTACTCTACAACAGTGCTTCTCAACCTGTGGGTCCTAGATGTTTTGGCCTTCAACACCCAGAAATCCTAACAGCTGGTAAACTGATGATGATTATACATCTGGGTAATCTCCTGTCCATTTTTTCTTTAGTATTTTAAAGTGCTCCCTTTTGTGGCCCAGTGCTAGGACAACCTACAATTCTACTTACTAAATCATATGTGAAGGTCAAGGATGGACAACCTGAGGTGCTTTAGCTATCTCATGTACCTTCAACTCTAAATTGGAAAGATCATTACATGTGAATGATTCAGACTTCTGGCCTGTCCCTCCCTTAGCAGCCTTGGAGTGGGAAGGGAGGTAGAGAAAGAGAAATGGTCCATTGGCCTCAATGGGGAAACTTTAGAGGCTCATTCTCTGTCATCTTTAGGCCCATCAGCTTGAAGCTCACCTCACTTGTAGGCCACATTTACTTCTGAAAGCCTGCCAAGTTTCAGAATTCTTCACCAGTCCACTAATCTTTTAGAAATGTTTAAAGTTTCTACCATAACATTAAAAAAAATTACAAGAGGAGGTTCTGTGAATTGAAGTCCCAAGCACACATCACAAGGGGGGAGGGGAATGGACAGACACAGTCAACCAGGCCTCCGATTGGCTGAGAAAGAAAGTGAGAAACACAAAAACAGAAAAACCTCAACTCCCATCATGCCCCGGGAGGGAGCACAAGGCTCCTTCAATGCTTGCACTTGAGGCAGTTCCCATCTGCCTCAAGTGGGCGTGGGGGGGAGGGCCTTCAGGAAGGGATGGAGGGGTTTGCTGGGGAAGAAAGCAAAGAAGGAGCTTTCCTGATTTGTGAGGCTGCTATGCCCACACGCAGAGTGCTGCTCAGTCCCATTGGTCCCCTTTATTAGCACCCATGAGCCAAAAAGATCCAGCTGCTGTGATCTGTACTGGCTAAGGCTTCAGCCCTGCACTAGGCTTGTTTTCATGGATTCAGGAACCAATTCTGCTGAAACACCCAAATCCGGTACACAAAAACAAAATTGTGCACCCCCTTAGTAGCTATGTTAATCAGATGTAGCAAAAAGAAGTTACCTCGGCATTACAAGAAACAACCTCAAATCATGTTTTAAAATCCTGAATTTATTGTTGTGTCTGAACTGGGACACTGCTTTGATTATGAATATATACAACAATGCCCATAGTTTTGTGAAAGAAAGCAAAGCAGGCATTTACAAACATGATAAACCTTATCAAGTTTAGTTCTGAAGAGCTAGTCTTGCAGGAAATCAATATGAGTTCAGAAAATTGTTCTGTCTTCAGAATTTGCACAGTCAGGTACAGATATACAAACGTGAACATCTGAATTGCAGATTCTAACACAAAACCCTCAAGGTGGCAGAGATTTTCTTTTTGAATCAAGTACCTTTGGCTGAATTGTTTAAAAACTTTTTTATCTGAGAAAACACCTCTCCAGGAATCTTCAAGTCCTCCACTGTGATTCTATAGTCAACTTTCACCAAAGTTGCACTAAAGGATTCCTAGAGAGACCATATCAATACAATTCATGAATTGTCAAATCTGCAAAAATTAAATTCACCAATGTGGAGGGCAGGCAGTATTTCATTAATTGCCAATTTCAAAATACCTATCAAATGTGTTTCACATATTCTTTTCAGAGTCACCAAATTCATTGAAGTATAACATAGATTACTGAAGAATGATATTATATTATTGACTTCCTGACCTTGGTTTGTCTGCAGGCACCTGCCAAAAGTGTACGTTTTTTGTCATTACCATTTGGTAACGCTCGATTCAACAGAAGAACAGCTAGGAATAAAGAAGATCTAACAGGTAACATGTTTTCACCAAAATAATATTATAATGCTGTCAGTTGCTCCTAGTTCACACCAAATGCAAGGTGCTTGTGATAACAGTGAAAGCCCTAAGGAAGTGGGAAGACACAGGTGAGGGCCTTCATGACATCCAGATTGTGGAATGTCCTCTATCTATAGGTCCAACTGGCACTAGCCTTTTCAGTGGCAAGCTAAAATAAGGTTTTTTATTAAAGCTTTGAGGTGCCGATTTATTTCTAATTCAAGGGTTTTAAATTGTTGTGGCTTTAAAAGTGGTTTAATTGCTGTTAAAACTGGTCTTAATTGTGACTATGTTTACCAAGTTTTATTATTAATGTTTCTAATTTAAAACCGGTTTTCATATTTTTATTGTGTGCTGCCTTGAGATTCCAGGATAAGGGTAAGATGGATAGTTCCTGAGATAACTAGCAAATAGTTATATCCATTCCCAGGAAAGAGGATTTTGGATCAGGAATGCATGACGTGTGATGAACTGCATGGTGTGTAAGATGCTTTGCTTTCATTGGAGAAAGATACTCATACTATTGGAATAATATCTGTTTAAAACTTTCTGCCTCTTTCGTTTGATGGAAATTAAGTAGGGAGAGTACACAGGATTGAGACTAGAATGCACGCACACATTTTACATGGCGTCTTCAGTCGTTTGAGTATCAGACAGAAATCACCATGTAACACTGTTTTCTTACTTGGTGTAAAATGATGGTATTATTCACCTGTTGGTATTTGTCTGTTTTGCATTTGTTAAAGAATCAAGTCTCTCCATATAAAGAAAGCAATTCTAAGTGACCAACCAGTGGGGATTTTGGCCCTGTCTGGAAGCGCCCTAGATTGACAAGCATTGGATACTTGACTATCCCTTGTTATTATCATTTTAATAACCCATTCTTACCAACAAAAGCTATTGGGTAGAATCATACCTTTAAGAATAATAAATAAAAGGACCAGCCAGCATGGTGCTGTGTTTGAGCACTGGACTTTCTCTCCAGAGACCAGAGCTTAAATCTCTGCTCAGTCATGAAGCCCACTGGGTGATATCTCTCATCCTCAAAGGAAAGCAATGGTAAACTGTTTTTTGAATTATCATCCTACTACTGCTTACTTTTGGTTGTCCCAGCATGTCATGACTTTTATCCTTCTTAAAAGTAACTTTAGAAGTGGTGAAACCTGGGCTTGTTGACATGCAACACCTATGCTCTTCCCCTTGAATTTCAACCCCCTTCTGGGAAAAAAAGAAAAAAAAGCCAGCATTTTTGTGTGTTGCATTGTGACATTTTCCCTTCTGATCATCTGATTAGATGGTGGCAGTGAATGCCACACCCTTTGACACAATGCAGCTCAGCCAAGGGCCCTGAAGCTAAAATTCTCTGTACCCAGATTCCGCCTCCCCTCCCCCTAAAAATCCTTTGGCAATTACATGTTATTCAAATCCAATCTTGGGTTTCAATGCTAATCAAAACAAGTTGCTAATTGCAGACTTACTTGCCAAGGATGTTCTGGCTTGTGTTGTTGTTTATTAGTGGGCTTTTATTGGCGGAAATAGTTAATGAAGACAGTTGCAACATGAAAAACCAGTGTTAATCCAGTTTAATGCAGGAATATATATATATATATATATATATATATATATATATATATATATATATATGTAAATAGCTGAGACTGAGGTTTGGTGTATTTAAAAAATATACAGAAAAAAATCTGTGTGACTCAACCACACAAAGTTTTTGTAGTTCAAGGAAGAAATAGAGTGTTGGTAGTTACCTTTAATGGTAGGTAGCCTGTATCTTCATCCCAGAGGTCTATATTGCTCATGCAGCCTCTGGGGGACACAAGGAAATGAGCCAATTAATTTAAACCTCAATTTGAATTTATGGGCTGCTGGAAATGATGTGAATAATCCAGATTAATGCTTACAAAGGTTGGGTGGAAGCCTGGCTCCTTGATACATACAAGATGTGCTTTGAGCATCTACTTTCTAATACAGAATGTGTTCTTGCTATGCTTTTGTATTGTCACCTCATTGTACATTTATAAGAGTGGTTAGCATGGGCCCTGGATCCATGAAATCATTTACCAGTTCTTCAAGTCTTGGTAGGAACGTGGTTTTCCTTAAAGGACTTGAGATGAATTGGGTAGAAATAGTCATGTTCAGTCGGGATTGGATGCCTTTCCTGCAAATGTAGTTAGCAGAGGGACTATAAGCCACAAATCTATTGTCCCAGTCCCAGCCTGAGTGGTCAGGTTCACTGATCAAAAGGTTGGTTGATGCCTGGATATGGACCCATGCATGTGTCTAACCTATCAGCAACTTATAGAGGAGAGGGTTGTGAGCAGGTAATTTGCTGTATAAACACATTTTGTGGTCCACATGCTAACTCCAGAGAGTCTCTCATTGAAATACTAGCCAGGAATGACCCTACTTCACTTCCAAATTCATACAGAACATTGTTTCTCTAGGATATTTAGGACCTTAGACTGTGCTAAAATGCACAACCTTTCAAAAGGTGGATAAATCTATCTACATATTACAGTTCTTTACAGTCCTCTTTTTTGTCTCCTGTGTTTCTGAATTTCAGGAGATTCCAGTAGTGATTCTGAATCTGTGTTCATTAAACTAAATTCAGAGCCGCAGCAAAGGTCAAACCAAAGGAAATGGCAACAGCCGGAACTACTTCCTATGAGGCAGCTGCCTTCAAGACGTGAACGAGCAGGTTTTGCAGGCCACAGAAGAAGAACAAATGAAGAAGAGAAAATAGCCAGAGCCCAAACAACACAGTTGCTGCTGAAACCTCAACATAATGCACTAATTGAAACTGATATTCAGGAACCTGAGTCAGAGGATGTGGTGGACACAGCACCATTCCCTTTGGTCCCTGCCATCAAATGGACAGCAGAATCCAGGGATGATAAACATTTTTATGGGCCAGAAAGACACTTTACAGGAAGAAAAGTATGACCCCCCCCCCCACCATCAGCACACAAAATAATTGTTGTTTTCATTGCTTTGTTTTATTTCTTTTGGGAAATATTGGGTATCTCTGAAATACTTATGATTCTACTCTAATGGTGGAATATGTCTATATTGTTAGACATCATGGGTAAAGAAAAATATATGAGTCCTGACTGTCTGAAAGCTCTGCAGGAAGATATTAAAATCTACAGGCTGTTTTACAAAGGTTAGAAATATCATTATTTTTTGGTTCACAATTTCCAGAATCATCCAGTCATTCTGGCTATTGCTTTTTCTGGGAATTGCAGCATACAAAAGCTCTACTATATTGCTAGTCCATTGCTAGAAGTTTAAAAAGACATTTATATCCCTGTAGCACAAAAACCTAGACTACATGGTCAGAAATAGGTGAGTGTGAGTTTTTATAAGAAGTCTTGTATCCCTGCAAGTTGATTTTATGTGTAATCTTACACACAATGCTGTGTTTGATCTGTAAAGGGGTAGAGTCCATTGGCACATGCATTATGATTTATTCATCCATTCAATTACATTATACTAGCATTCTCCCAATATATTACATTTAAAAAGTTAACAGAAAAAAACACAACTAAAAACCAATAACAGGGCTTATACATACATAAACACAGACATATATAACAATTACATATAAAACCATACGACTGTACAATCTACTCTGATTACATACACACACGTATGTATGTATGTATATATATACACACACACATACGAGTTTTAAAAGTGGATTTATTGCTTTCCTGTTTTATTTAACTTTCCCAATTTTATTCTGCAGGATGGTTTACATTTCACAAATTGTTCAAGAACATTGTGAAAGTGGCAGATCTTGAATTGAGACCAATGAGATTTAATTGGACCTCATCACACTAGAGAACAAATCCACTTTAAATCTGGTTGGTGCCTCCTGCAGAATTCTGGGGTTTGAAATTTAGGGAGGAGCCTTTAACAGCCTCACCAAACTACAAACCCCAGTTCTGCAGGAGACAAAAACTGGATTTAAAGTGGATACTTTCTCTAGTGTGATGAATTTTATAAAATTCAATAAGTTTTCCCATTGCAAGTTCTTCTAAGTTTGCATGGCCATATTCTTAGATCTGAAGCTGTGAGTTATCTTAAACACAACATGAAGGTTTGGATCTCTCCTATTTTGTGTGGTCTGAATTCTTTCCATGACTTGCCTATCAAGGAAACTCACTTAATGGGCTGGCCATTCAAGAGTTTCCAAAATGTTGAAGCTGGTCTGGTGTATTGTTTATGCTGTCACTGTGCACAGTCAAAACTGGAAGGACATTTAGACAATTACCCACTTCTGAAATGCTGGAACAATTACCTGTGCATTTTTGTATATCAACCACAGGCATTGATGCAATTACATCATTCATTCAATCCTGTGCTTGATTGAGATTGATTGTTGGTGTTGGGTTGCCTTAATTCATAGAGTTAGTCTTTTCTGTAAACTACAATCTTCTGTGAGCTACTAATCTGTAGTACCAGTTTGGTCATAGGTGCACACTTGTACATTTCCTGATACATTATGCTTATGTCTCAAGGATATATGAGGTATATGTCCAATGGATATGTATGAATGATTTCAGATTAGCTTTACTATTCATTGGACCACTGCAATTTATGGTAAGTATATGCATACAGAATCTCTGTTTATCTTTTTACTGCATCTTTGTAGTAATCCCATGTCATACTTTTCTTATCAACAATGTTATTCAATAGGAGTGGTTTATGCAAATATCTATTAGTCATTTTTTTTCATGCCGGGAGTGACTTGAGATACTACTTTTATTATTAATACTCCACTACCTGCTCCAAAATATATTTCACAGGTTTAGAAAAAAAGAACATATTGTTACTCATTTCGAAAGCATCTTGAGGCCTCTTCCACACTTGCCCCCCATAACCCAGGATCTGATCCAGATTATCTGATTATCGTATTGTCAAAGGCTTTCATGGCCGAAATCACAGGGTTGTTGTGAGTTTTCCAGGCTATATGGCCATGTTTTAGAAGAATCCTGTCCTGACATTTTGCTGCGTCTATGGCAGGCATTCTCAGAGGTTGTGAGGTCTGTTGGAAATTAGGAAAATGGGGCTTATATATCTGTGAAATGTCCAGGGTGGGAGAAAGAACTATTGTCTGTTTAAGGTAGATATGAAAGTTTCAATTGTCTACCTTGTGTAGCATTTAATGGCCTTGCAGTTTCAAGGTCAGGCTTCTTACTGTCTGGGGAATTCTTTGTTGGGAGGTGATTAGTTGTCCCTGATTGCTTTTGTCTGGAATTCTCCTGTTTTTGGGTGCTGTTCTTTATTTACTGTTATGATTTTAGAGTTTTAATGCTGGTAGCCAGATTTTGTTCATTTTCATGGTTTCTTCCTTTCTGTTGAAATTGTCCAAATGCTTGTGGATTTCAATGGCTTCTCTGTGTAGCCTGACATGGTAGTTGTTAGAGTGGTCCAGCATTTCTGTGTTCTCAAATAATATGCTGTGTCCAGGTTGGTTCACCAGGTGCTCTGCTATGGCTAACTTCGCTGGTTGAAGTAGCCTGCAGTGTTCCTTCATTCGTGTTTGGGCAATGATGCATTTGGTGGTCCCTATGCATGGTATAGGGTAAACTCCTGCTGAGGTGAGAGGATCCCTCTTGTCCTTTGCTGAATGTAGCATTTGTTGGATTTTCTTAGTAGGTCTGTAGATAGTTTGTAGATTGTGTATCTGATTATCCCAGATTACTGTTTGTCAAACTTTGCTCCTCCAGATGTCTTGGACTTCAACCCACACAATTCCTAACAGCATGGTAAAAAGGCTGGGATTTCTGGGAGCTGAAGTACAAAACACCAGGAGGAGCAGAGTTTGAGGGCCCTTTCGCACTACCATGCTATCCAGAATATCAAGGAAGATAATTCATATTATCTGCTTTGAAGTGGATTATCTAAGTCTACTCTGTCATATAATCCAGTTCAGAGCATATAATCTGGGTTTTATACAGCTGTGTAGAAGGAGCCTGAAAAACACTGTCCCAGATTATCTGGCAGTGGAGACCCATATGACCCAGTTTAAAACAGATAATCTGGTTTAACCCATTGCGCCACCAGGGACTCCTTATTAGTCATATGAATGTACGATATGTGAGTGATGAAGATGCAGCATCAAATAGAGGATATTGTGTGTCTATTTGAATCGACTTCCAAAACATTTTTAAACTTACTGAAAATATATTAAAAGAGGATATTTGAACTGAATGTACCCTTTTGGGTTCTTGCAACAGGAAATATTATTTTGGGCTTTTGGTGTGCTGTTGAAAAACCCATAGACAACAAGAAGATGAAATAAAACAGGGATTATTATCGGTAATGATTTGCAAAGGAGAACAAACTGGAGGATTTCCAACCTCAACTGAAACCTTAGTTGGGAAAACACTTTGTTCCACTCTCTGCTATTATCTTGGACTGCAGTGTAATTACTCTATGGATTAACCTAATAGAAGCCTGATGGCTGATGTCATTTTTGCACCATGAGAAGTAAGCTGCTGAGAACAGGTATGAATGGAGTGGAACTGTTTTCTACTGAGTGATGCAATTGGCAGGGAAATGGTTTAAAAGATTGCAATATACTAAAACAATTAAAAATTGAAATCTTCTGCTCCAGCTTGTTCAGAGAGACTTGTGATGTCTAGAAATCATATACCATTCTTCTACTATATCATATGCATCTGATATAGACTCACAATAGCCTATGCTACAAGCTTCTTTCAAAGAGCCCTTCCACACAGCCCTATATCCCAAAATATCAAGGCAGGAAATCCCACATTATCTGAGTGTGGACTCCGATGAACCAGTTCAAAGCAGCTATTGTGGAATTTTCTGCCTTGATATTCTGGGATATAGGGCTCAAAGATACTACAAGATCCTCTTGTCTACTGTGCTCTATTCACCCTTCCATCCACCCATTTTCTACTCTACTTAGATTTGCCCTGGGTATTTTGCTTCTTCCTTTTTTCTTTTCCTGCCAATTTCTTTTCCACTAGTCTTGTCCCAAAAAGTAGTACAACCAATTGTTCAAGTCTAAGTCTAAGAAAATGATAGTTTGACAAGTGACTTGATGGCATGCACACACACAATATAGCATAAGAGAGGTAGGCAGAAAATAGATAGGCATGGGTTCTCATGCCTAACTATCTAACAATGGCAAAATATTTAAAAGGCTTCTGCAATCCAAATCAGGATACTGGAATGAAGAAAGCTGGTGAATGAGGGAGAACCAGGACAATGTGTGAAGGGAAAACATGAGCTCAGTTTTGTTACTGAAAATTTATTTATTTATTTATTATTCGAACTTATATGCCGCCACTCCCCTGGGGCTCGGAGCGGCTTACAAGAACAGCTTAAGGGGTCTTGCTTTTGCAGAGCGGCTTAAAATCGAACACAATTTAAAAACAATTTAAAACAATTTAAAAATAAAGTTCTGTGTTGATGTATTCCAAAATACTTTTAAATTTTAAGTCCCTGTCTGACTCCTGTGCCACTATTTGTCCAGTGGATATCAAGGATGAAGTGTAGACCTGATAAGTTTACCCAACTTCTCTTTCCTTAACCTCAAATATAACGGGTAAACCTACTCAGAAAAAGAATTAAATTCACACCTATGGTTCCACTAATCAAGGATTAAACATTAATTGCTGCTTAGTTTGGATGTACCCATACTTTAGTCTTATTTCTCAGAAGCAAGCCACAAATTCTGAATGATATCTGGGGCATCTGCCAACCAGAGATTTTGGCTTGGCTGCAATCTACTACATAATTCATAGTTGTCTCAAATCTGGTATTCAGTTAAGTCACTTCTTTTTGCTGGGCTGTCAGTCAACCTGATTAAACCCATGGATGGTTGATATAGAGCAGCATTTGTTGTGGGTTGTTAAAGTGTCTAGGATTGGATAATATATGAGTTAGCAAATAAACTAGGGTTT